TTTTGAAAATCACCCTTTTGCAATAAATTACTGTAACAATTCGTTATATTATTATTTATTCGCAACACCAATTATTACATTTAAACTAACAAAAAATATAGCATCACAGATATTGCCTACCCATAAAAAACATTTAGTTTATTTTAATAAGAAAAATTGTCAAGAAAAATTAACTTTTCTAACGAGTAAAATAATAATAATAAATATATAGTTTTTACCTAACATTTAAAAATAAGACAACTAAAGTAAGTGAAACTTTCAATCTTAGTACGAGCCCTAACCACATAATGTTCGGACACTTCATAATTTATACAGAATTTTTTTTCGTGAATACTATCTCAAAATTATTAGAAGTTATGAAAAATTCAGCTTATTTTGGCATATACCCCTCGAAGCGATTTTTATTTTTAAAAAGTTTACCTTTTATTTTTAGCTTTTAAAAAAAGGCTAACTTTTTAACTTTTTTTTGCATGAGTAAAAAAAGTTATAAATGGGCCCATTAAAAAGAACATAAAATATTATACAAACCCTGAAAATTTGGTAAAAATTGTATAAATAATAAGAAAGTTATAGCGATATATATATCTGCAAAATCTCCCGTTTCCTAAGAAAATTGCAAAAACTCTTTAAAAATAGCATTTTTAAATTACTTATACTTTTTTATAACTTATTTATTTTTTACCAAATTTTCAGGGTTTGTATAATATTTTATGCCCTTTTTAATGGGTCCATTTATAACTTTTTTTACTCATACAAAAAAAAGTTAAAAAGTTAGCCTTTTTTTAAAAGCTAAAAATAAAAGGTAAACTTTTTAAAAATAAAAATCGCTTCGAGGGGTATATGCCAAAATAAGCTGAATTTTTCATAACTTCTAATAATTTTGAGATAGTATTCACGAAAAAAATTTCTGTATAAATTATGAAATGTCCGAACATTATGTGGTTAGGGCTCGTATATGATTGTAAGATAAAACAATTAAGTTCTGTTAATTTTGCAATTTAAAAGACATTTTGGCATCTTTTGGATATCGCAAATTTTATTTTTAACATTATTAGTATTTGGTATTCTTGTTTTAGAATTGTTTGTAGCTAAAATATTTAATTAATATTAATATTATCATTATAACATTTATTATTGCTGATTAAAGTTTTCGTAGTAGACATTTTCGAATATAAGACACATTAGTTTCAATATGACCTGGCTGTCCTAATTGTGATATATACCTACATTCTTTCGAAGTATGGCATTGATAACGTATATTACATACAATAACAAACAAGCTTAACATTTTTGTTAATTTCAAATTATATTTAACAAGTTTTTTATTTAATAAAAAAAACGAGATAGCTTGAATAAGCTACCCCTTTTATTTAGTTTTTTAGTGTAGGTAGGTGTAACGATTACACTAGTTTACAGCTATTTTGCCCACCATGAGATTTTCTTGTGTAGTTTGGCTCACTAAACGCGAAAAAGCGTTTTTGAGATATGAATTTTCAATTGTTTTTTTTTTAATTTTGTGAGGTGTTTTGACGTTTTTTAAAAAATAAGCTGTTGTTGATAAAAATCCATGGATAAATGGCGAAGTTATGAATTTTTCAGTGGAAGAGCAAAATTCAGTTTTTCGAGAATTTTTACGTTTTTTCTTCATTTTATTGAATTATATAAAATTTAATATAAAACATTGATTTTTATTTTAAACATTAAATATTGAAATTAAATTATTTATTAAATATTGAACATTGAAGAAATTGAAAGTTTTATTTTGTTGTAATAATAATAATAATAATAATAATAATAATAATATCTTTATTTAACCACATTACATTAAAAAATATTTATGGCAAGTCAAAGTACAGAAGTTACATATAAAAATACAATATAAAAATACAAAAAATATAAATATATATATATATACATATATATATATATATATAAGTATAGGTATAAAAAAATTTTGGCTCCTTCTTTGTTTTTTGGTTGCTTTTGTATTCCGTTTCTCGTATGAGGGACCAAATGTAATCACCCATCATGGCTGCATTCCAGAAGCCGTGATACCGCCGCTCCATAGCCTTCATTTGCTGGTGAAAACGTTCTCCGTGCTCATCACTTACGTCGCCCAGATTGTGCGGGTTATTTACGCACTTGAACTCTCTACTTCTTTTACTCATTTTACACTTTTTATTAGCTAAGTAAAACCATGTTAAAAATACCTTGTTGAAATATCAAAAAATATCAGTAAAATGTCACTATGCCAACACGAGAAACAAAAGAATTCACGTTTGCGGAGTCATGTCAAATTTAAATTTTGAATAATGTTTTCGGTGAAAAAAGTACGTAAAAAACTCAAAAAATTCAAATCATGCACTTTAATTAGGTTTTTATTAAAGAATAAACAAAATACAAAATAAAAGAAAAAAATAAAATAAAAAACGTCAAAAAGCTGAATTTTGGCCTTCCACTAAAAAAATCATAACTTCGCCATTTTTCCCTGTATTTTTATCAACATTAGTTTGTTTGTTTTTGTAAAAATGTCAGCTTCACGAAAAAAATTCAAACTGGAGTTATTTGTTTGATTTAAACCTTTCCCAGGACAATATGTAAATTTTCGACCAAAATTTTTGTCATAAAAACGATTTTTTTAAGTTATTAAAATCGCTGGCATTAAAACACTTATCCGATATCAAAAGTATGTAAAATAAAGTTTTAGAGGGCTCATACCTTCAATTTAACTTTTAACAAGCCAAATCGATCAATTAGATTTCAAGCTATACTCAAAAACGTCAAAACACCTCCGAAAGTTAAAAATTCATATTTCAAAATTGAGTGTGATTTTCGTGTTTAGCAGGTCAAAATACATGGGAAAATTATAATGGGATATGGTTGGCAGAATTTTTTTTTCGATTTTGTAAACTAGTGTTATGAACCCTCAGATCCATATTTTCCAAACATTTTATAAATAACTTTGATGATTGCATATGGATTGAGTTAATATTTTACAAATAATTTGATCAAATATAAATTTAGCTTTGTTTTGTGATGGGTAAAGGTAGTAAAATTGTGCCATGTAATTTTAAAATGTTTTCAATATAAAAATTTTAAAACTACATGTCATTGAAAAATAATGGCAGTTTTATTTGAAAAGCTAAATTTAATTTGCCGTAGTTACTAAATACCACTTTTGATTGGACATAACGTAAGTGATTTTTAATAACTAGAAAATGAATACGGGGTTAAATAAATAAATAATGTTTTTACATTGAACTAGGGCAAAGTAGACAGTTATCGGACACTTTATAGTTATTGGACAATTAACATTAATACTGTAAAAACAAGACTTCTATAAATAGTTACCTTAAAGTCAAATCATTAGATGACGCTGTATACAATTGTAACCATCTAAGTCGGTAATAATATAGAACCACTTTATTTTGGGTCCAATATAGGACAAAAAAGTTCGCACGTTGCTTTGGTGGTAAGATTTTTGTTTTTTGTTAAGAGCAGGCCTGGGCTGTGTTTAAATTACAATAAAAAATATTTCTAAAAAGTGTACAGATCAGTGTGTGGTATAAATGTGTTCCTCATGGTTTAAACATTGTCACTTTTATGCGTTTTAATTTTAATTCTGAAAACAAACAGTAAAATGGCCAGAGTCCAATTACTGATTGGTAAAAAATGTAAATTTCTATTATTGGACATATGTCCAATATCATACTCTATTTATATCCTGGACATTTACCAGACAATTCTTTTGTAAAATTGTCCCCTAAATCCGAAAAGACCGTCAAAAACTATAAAAGTTAAGCAGTTTTTGAAATAAGTCAATTCCATATTATATGTGAAATTGATTATATTTCAAAAACTGTTATACTTTTACAACTTTTGACGACATTTTCGGATTCAGCGAATAATATTTCATAGGAATTGACTGCTAAATGTCCTGGATACAAATTGCTGTTGACGAGAATTATTAGTGGCTGCTTTTCCGCTAAGACATTTTTGACAAATTCATTTTTAGAGACTAAGTAATATAGTGATTTCTTAGTCACAGGACATCTTGCAGAATAACAATTAGTAGTTACCTTCAGAATCCAGAAAAGGGATGAAGAATCCGAGAAAGAAATATATGAATTATGATATTTACAAAAACGAAATAAAAAAATTATATTTAACAATTTATGTTATTTGATGAAAGTTGTTATGTTTAAATAAAAATTGTATGTCCAATGACTAGGGATTGCAATCCGGTACCAATTTCAATCCGGTCGGATCCGGCCGGATTCCTGTCAATCCGGCCAGATCCGGTCGGATCCGGCCAAATTAGTTATTCATGTTTATAATTCAATTTAATTATTACCTTTATGTGCTATATCTAGTATGTATTATGTGTAAATCTCAGAGATTCACACATGTGTATGTATACTAGATATAGCACATAAAGTTAATAATTAAATTGAATTTTTTGTTTTTATCTTTAGTAAATGTCAAACTTACTTTTTACAAATAAAAGTTTTCTAAACATCAATAAACCTTTATTAGAATTAAATTAAGGCAAAAAATATATAACAAATGTATTTATGGCGTTTTAGTCACGGGCTGAAGTTAGAAACAGTGGCTTTTAAGCTTTTTAGTCACGGGCTGAAGTTTGCTTTGTTATAAATTGGAAAAAAGTGAGGTTAAATTCGAGTGACAGTTGACAGATGTCAAGTTTTTAACAAATAAAATTGGCTTTAAATTCTGTTTTATGTTTGTCGTAGATAAAGTATAGTATGCAACTGGTTTATAAAACTTATCTAGACACTCGTTTTTATTAAACACTCGCTCGCAAGCTTCACTCGTGCTTAATTAAACTCGTAACTAAAATGGCGTTTATAAAATTTGATACTTAATATACTATTATATACTCCTCTACTGACGACCTGTGACTTTATGGCGGTTTAGTCACGGACTGAAGTTAGCAACAGTGGTTTTTGGGCTTTTTAGTCACGGGCTGAAGTTAGATTTATTATAAATTGGGAAATAGTGAGGTTAAACCCGGGTGACAGTTGACAGATGTCAATCTTTTAATAAATTAAATTTGCTTTAAATTCTGTTTTGTGTTCGTATATAAAGCATGGTATCTAACTCGTTTATAAACTTCTCTAAACACTCGTTTTTATTAAACACTCGCTCGCAAGCTTCGCTGGTGCTTAATTTAACTCCTAGCTAAAATGCCGTTTATAAAATTTTCTACATAAAGTTATTATAAACAAAATCAGAAATATGCATCATTAGCAAGGATTCGTTACTAAATTTAATTCTAAGTATATAATTTACTGAAATTATTCTCGTACTCGTGAAGGCAACAAAAATAATTTGACTATCAAGCGAGTCAAATGACAAACTGTCAGTTTGAAATCCAACTGTCAGTTTAAAACTAATGGCGTGTGGTCGGATCCGGCCGGATCATGCCGGATCCGGTCGACGTTTAATGATGCCGGATCCGCAGGATTACCGGATCCGGTTTTTCGGATTGCAATCCCTACCAATGACTATGCTCCATGTGTCTAATTACTATACAAAATGTCCAATTACTATATGGTTTACCTAGTTTGGTAAAAATTCTTTATTTATTTAAAACCCGTAATGTATATATTTGTAAAATACTCTGATAGATCTAATATATAACATGTGTAAATTTAAAAGTGTAATTAATATCACAATAATATAATATAAATCTACAATATGAATAATAGTAATAATAGGAATATATATCTACTTATTTTGATAACTAATAGCTAATAACTTTTATGTACAGTGCTTTTAGAGCTACACGTTTTGCGAACCAAGTTGCTAGTTGCTAGTAGGTAGCAATTTGCGATAAATAGTAAAACAAAACAAACTACACTCAAAATTTATACACTAGGTTATCATCACGTACGTTTTGTATAGTTGTTGCTGTTTTTCGGTTTAATGTTGATATGTAGGGTTTTTATTTTTAAGACACAAACGTTTTGCTTGTTACTCGTGCCCGTTGGTGAAGCTCTTGTAGTGATAGAAGAAGAATATGAGAAAAACGGCGAACGCCGTGGGAAAAGTGATGCGTGCGATCACGTCTATTGTCTTTGCCACACGAATTGGATGAGGCGGCTCTTTTTTCCTCACCTGTAACAAGCGTGGCTACTAAAGATTAGACAGATGCCTAGATCTTCGTATGTTAAGTTTTAAACGGCTTTAAATTTTGAGTTGGTAATTAAGGTTATGTTTTCAAGTTTTATAATAAATAATTCAATTAATTTTTACTTTTCGTAGATTGTTATTGCCTCGTTAATTTTTTGATCAGACGCGCCCTTAATAAGTTATCAATAAAATAAAGTAGCCAATTAGAGGTGGGATAACACAAACTTTTGTGGACATTCCATGGCTATGAACGTATTGTATTGTGAAATGACCTTAATTTTATTTTTCACCGTCACTGAATTATAGATTGCCTTCCTTCCTTCCTCCCATAGTCGTGCCCGTAGGATTTGTGCGTCTTGTAAAAAGTCAATTTATAGATTTCCGTGTAAAATTCCGCATGCGCGATGACACCTAAAATGATTGACATTTGTTTTTGTTTATATTCTGCGTTTTACCCATTGTGTGTAAATATGAAAGATAATCATTTATATATTAGTGCATAGATCACAATTTTAATTGCCCAGGCAACTTGTTGTATACTGCCCAACTATGGAGAAAGGACAAATAAGAAATTTGTGCGAAATTAGCATAAACTACATTTTTATAAGAAGCAGTAGGTATTTAACTGATTTATTTAACTTAAAAGATAGTTTACTGCATTTCTTTGTTGAATTAAGATACAAAATGTCCATAGCTTTATCATAGCACAATAAAACGCATTTGTAGTTACTGCTTTTCTCGATAGTAGGGCAGTATAATGAAAAAAAACATCGAACAAGACGTTGAAAGACTCGCCCACTTTACCAAGACCGGGAAACTAGGGGGTTTTACAAAGCAACGTTTCTAAAAATGAAAGACATTGATCATAAACAATATCTAAATATCCTATTTAGAGACACAAATTATTTAATAAACTGAACACCTATCTTAAATAATACTAAACAATCATGTATTTTAAATATATTGTGCCGCTGTCAAAGACCTTTACGGTAAAAGATAAAACTTAAAAATTTCTACGGGAGGAAGGAATGCCGTCCTTACGGTACGGGAATCTATGACTGGCACCATAGATAATAAATCATATAGATACGCCACTGTCACATATTTGACGCTCCTTGTTACGCACACTCGGCCCGCTATGCCGCTAGTTGTACCCGCCTGACATTTATTGGTTTTAGGTTATGGTTTTAATTTAGGTTATCCTGTCAAATTTTGACAGTCAAAATAGTAAAAAATAAAAGGCCTGAAAGTTTATTTAAATTGTTTATTTGAAAAGCAAAAATAAATGTATTATATTTTAAATTATTCAAGGTATTTACTAAACTAAACCAATTAACAATATAATACTGTATTCAAGTGAATTTTATCTTATTAAAGAACACAAATCAGTATAAAGTAATAATATTATGTACCACATTTGTGTAAGTACCTACTTCATTGTTTTAATAAAATAGTTATAATAAAATACAACCTTGTCATCATTGCGAAAAGTATGCATCATAACTTGACTGTTAGAGCAGCCCACAGCACAGCACAACACCATGTTAATGTTCAAATAATGTAGCAATATATAAAAAATAGAGTACACAGATAACGATAAATCGCAATTTTAAAAGTTTTTAAGCGTAGGTACAGAACAAACCAAATAAACACAATATGAATTTACAAAACTTACAAAATTTATCAAACTGAAGTTTGTTGATTTCGTTACCAAGCAACCGTCAAGATTAACCGCCGCTCCTGCCACATGTGCCTCTAGTGTAAACTAAAACCAAAGTCGACTAGACAAAAATGTGGATTTTGTTTGTTTAAGGCGAGTGCACAGGGCATGACTGGCACTACGATTTAAATAAACATTTTTGACGTAATTGTCACTATTAACAACTTAAAAAACTTTAAAAAATTAAAATAACTTCAAAATATGACTTTGTTAAGAAAATATTTTATTCTTTGATTTTTTTATTACTATAATTGCAAAATATTATCACAAACTATTAAAAAATTTTACACGGGAAATGTTAATGATGACAATTACGTAATGTTCATCTTCTACGGGAGGAAGGAAGGAAGGCAATCTATAATTCAGGCTTAAAGCCTATGTAAGAAACACAACGTTTAAAACGATTATTAATCTGTATTGGGGCCACCAATTTTCCCTAAAAAAAGAATGTCTCAAGTTAAAACTAACCTAAAAACTGACGGAGACAATGTCAACAATAATTAAGGTCATTTTACACTACGATTTCATATAGATTTTCTAATATTAAGCTGCACATTATAGTTCTCCCTCCTCTAATCATTCTGCTAAAACACGCCTGTGATTGGCTACTTTATTTTATTAATAACTAATTAATGGTGGGCAAAGACTATTCGACTTAAACTTTTCCAAAGTTGAAAGGGCAATTCTTGGCCAAGTTTTAACCTCTCTGGGTACAACTGAATAATAAAATATGGGTGATTCTACAAAAGTTGGACAACTTGATGTCATCAGTCAATAGAGTAGGTATTTTAATATTTTTTGTAAATATTTTAGTATATTACAAAAGATCCAGTTTTTTTAAACTTGTCCACCCAATTTTAATGTATTTTTTCAAAAGCACGTTTGTAGAAAAACATAATAAATATTCAAAACATCAGTACCTTGGCGTGTGTGTAAATATATTCAATTTATCTTAAATTTTTCAATTTCACTACAAACTATAAAACATTAAATAATGTATTTTTCATATTTTATTATAAATTCGAATAATAGCAATTTTTAAAAAATTGATAATCTTTGTACTCACTTTTACCCGTCAGTTCTGTGTCGAATGTTAAAATTCAAAAAAGTTTAAACGTCAAGTCCTCGTTTTAACTCAAGTGTTGGTAGAAAATTACCTACAGAGCCCGCCCTTTGCACGACAGTCATCTTGAAAACAATGCAAGCGGCGAAGTTGTGGTGAATGCACGTATAGTTCCAGTCAAAATTTCAGTACTGTGGTGAGTAGTTATTTTCTTACGTATACGTATATATATATATTTCATTGTAATTTATATAAGGCTATATGTGATTTGTTGTTTGTAGCATCCACTAATAAAAAATATCAGTAAAATACTTAATTCCGAATTATAATCTTAAATTTGTATCCCATCATCAGTACCATGTTCGATGTTTCGGTTATCTTTTTTTCGCAAACTTCAATTTAAATTCTGCTTGCGCAGAACTTGTTTATTTAATGTCATTATAAACTCATGTAAATTTGGTGTGGGTCCCATATCTAATAATTGAGATATCGGTGTACCCAAAATCCACCAGCCGCCACTGATGTGTGGTATTATTTGATTTTAAGATATTTAATGTATAATAATCAAAGTTGCAATAAATCTTATATTTTCCAATAAATTATGTATTTAATTAGTACCCTGGTATACTCGTCACTTCCCTTGCATTTAAATTTAGAAAACACAGATATTTCAGAAACTGTTTGAAAAAGTGACTGGCCCGGTCTGGAACAGTATATTTATTATATTATCTATGTTATAATAACAAAATACTGTTTAATTTTCTCCGAAAACAATATAAACAAAATGAGGTCAAAAGTTGCCAAACTTTTGTAGAATCGCCCATATACATTCATTTAATAAATTCAATTAGTGACTAAATTGGCATTTATAAAACTTGATACATAATATTAAAGCTGTGAATGTTAGTTTTATAAAATCGATAAAAAGAGTAAAAATAGCTGTGTAAAATTATGTCATATTTACCTCAGCTGCACACCCATTGTTGGCCGTATGAGTACAAGGATTGGGTCCACAATTGGTACACGAGACTATCTCATTGGCATTCACAGTTGTTGAGTCCCTTTTCTTGTCTCCCTAAACATTAAAACAACAAATTTAACACATTTTTAACAACAACACTTATCGATAGATTTAAAAATCCAATTAGAATAAAAATCAAAGGTGTATCGTTATTAGTTCAAAGGGGGTTAATAATACAATGTTCACAAGTTCAAAACGGTAAATTTTGACTTACTGTATGACGGGGACTTTCACAGAATGTGGAATAATATTCTTGTTCTGCAGTCTCCTAACAATTAAAACAAATGTGAAGAAATGGAAAGTTGAGCTCGAATGGGTTAATTCGTAACAATAAAACACGGTGCTGTTCTGAGAGGTGATTTTTGGACTTTCTGTGAAACCAATTTTTTTTTTATATTCTTGTTAATTAGGTCATAACTAAAATTTTAAGAGCAAAATAAAAAAAATTTGACGGTTTGAATTGTTTTAATTGGCTGTTTATTAAAAATATTATGCACTCTTTCAATTATCCAATTAAAAGTTTTAATTGGATAATTGGATAATTTAAAACTAACGATTTAATTTAAATATTTAATATTTGCATAACTAAAAAAAGGTTTTTACAATTTTTTTTTATATATTTTACTGTTTTGTTGCAATAAACGTTCAAACTTTTGATCTAACCTTTGACGTATACATTTATGTTCCCTTAATTAATATATCCTTAAAGGTTGCCATGAAACTTAGATCTATTAAAAATTTATTTGACGTTTGAATTGTCATTTTCAGTATACGTATTCTATAATTTTTATTTAGTTTTTTAAAGTGTTTTTTATAAACAAAAATGAAAAATTGTAGTAAAAGTTACGAAGAAATTCATGAAATTTAACTAAGGACCGGTTTATTCATATTTAGTAAAGTTTATCGGGCTGATAACTTTCATGTCTTGGCAATATCTAGTATCCAAAGAAATTATTTGCCAAATAAATCAAAAATGAATAAATCGGCCCTAAATAAAATGTGGCACCCTTAGAATTATTGTTTAATAAATGTATACTATACATTTAACCTTAAATTAAAACTTTAAACGTGTATTACAACAAAACAGTAAAAGATATAAAAAATGTATAGACCTTTTTTAGGAAATTAACTAATCTTTAATATGATTTAAAAAGTTATGATAATATTTAAATAAAATCGCAAGTTTTAATTGAGGAATTGAAAGTGTGCATACTTATTTTTAATAAACATCCAATTAAAACAAAATTAACCGTCAAATTTTTTTTATTTTGCTCTTAAAATTTTAGTTATGACCTAATTAACAAGAATATAAAAAAAAATTAGGTTTCACAGAAAGTCCAAAAATCACCTCTCAGAACAGCACCGTGAAAATAGACCAGTATTTTAGCAAAACGAAATTTTCATGATAGCTTTAATTTATCAAATTGTTGCGAAATATTATACAGGGTGAGTTTTAAGTTCACGCTTTTTTTACCAACGTGTAGAAATAAAATGGACTAACAAATATTTTAACTTTTTTCTTATCAAAAATCAAAAATAAAATGTACTATGCTCCACACCTCAAAGTCCCACCACGTGACCACGTACGGAACGCAGTCTTTTGAAAATTTGGCATTTAGGGCTTTTCAGGTTATGTATCTGTCAAAGTATAGTCAATGAAAGAAATAATAGTTATAGTGTTACCGCTTATGTTTAAGCGTTAAAAGTTAATAAATACTGCATTTAATGAAATTCCAAAGTGTAAGGTGCAATATAAGTGATATTTTTGTGCATTAGCTGGCCATACACAGACGTTATTGCGCGCGGTTTATCGTGTTATCTGCAAAAACATATGGAAAATCATGTACGTGAGTGAGTATCGCCGCGCGAAATGATAGAACGGGAAGGGATTTCAGACGTGCTTTTCTCTGGAGTGTGGCGTGTCCACACGCCACATTCCGCGTCACGGTTTACCTTTGCTTGGCAAAATTTCACGTTGAAAATTTGTACATGCAGTTTCAAACGACTCGATAAATGACACTTTTTGCCCACTCACATACGATTTTTCCTTTGAAACTGATATACCACGGGCAATCACTTGCTAAATCATTTGAATACTTTATCAAGTGTATGGAACATGACGCTTTTTTGCCATGCCGTTCTTTCGTGCATACTAACCGCTACATCCCAACACGCCACGATAAACCGCGCAAAATAACGCCTGTGTATGGCCAGCTATTGGGTCTACATTTCTCCATAAAATAGTTTTAACTAAACAGCATTTATTAAAAAAAAACTTCTCTATTATGAAATAAGAATATCTGTATCAAAGGTAGGTTAATATATTAGAACAAAAAATATCACCTAATTTTGTATTTTAAGGTTAGAAAAATCTATTTTGACCAAAATAAATAAGTGGATTTTTTGGAAGAGTGTGTTAATATGGTCATAAATTAATATAGGTAAACTAAATAATTGTTGAATATGGTTCAAATTAAATTTAATTTAAATTTATACTTCTAATGACAAAACTTGTGCATACCTCTCGGCATACCTACTTTAAGTTAGATTATAAGAAAACAAACAATTTTTAGAGAAACTTGCAATGTGAAAATATTTAATACTTCCATGACATGTGATTTATTAAAATTTTTTAAGTTATAATGATTTTTCGATGTAGATCAAGTTCAGTCAAAGCTTTATAACTATTTGTATTGACAAAACTTTATGTAGGTACACTTTAAGCTGGATAAGAAAAACTACCACATTTTTAAATACCATATTATACAGTCTTTTAAATAATCCAAAATACTTATTTATTTTGGTCAAAATAAATTTTTCTAACCTTAAAATTACAAAATTAGATGATATTTTTGCTATAATATATTATTAACCTACCTTTAAAACAGATATTCTTATTCCATAATAGAGAAGCTAGATTTTTTTTAATAAATGCTGTTTAGTTAAAATTATTTTATGGAGAAAACCAGATATTTGTACCAAATGCACAAAAATATTACTTATTTGGCACCATACACTTTAGAATTTCATTAAATGTAGTATTTATATTCTTAAATTCTTAAACCATTCATTGTTATTCTAATGTTATAAAGATTTATAAATTTTTAACGCCTGAACATAATATTATTTCGTTGACTATACTTTGACAGATACATAACCTAAAAGCCTTAAATGCCAAATTTTCAAAAGACTGCGTTCCGTACGTGGTGGGACTTTGAGGGGACTTTGAGGTGTGGACTTTGAGGTGTGGAGCATAGTACCTATCTTAAAATGTATTACGCAACATGTGGTTATTGCCTTATTTTAGTCGTGAGGTTATCTAACCAGTGGCCGCCAAGATTACCGGATTTTATCTTGTGGAGGTAAATGAGAAGTTTTTGTCAACATTAGCCTTTAAATTAAATTAAAATTTGAAAGACTTATTTTTGAGTTTTGGTAAAAAAATCCTTAAAATATTTGTTCGTCTTTAAAAGTATTTTGCAAACGATAAAATAAAACTATGCATAAAAATTCCGATAAAACCTTATTGGCCAAAAAAATTGTTAGAAGAAATAAATAAAAATTAAAACAAAATTTAGTTTAGTTTTTTTAAGCATTTTGTTTAAAAACTTTTTGTGCAGTCTAATCTAAAACTTGAACGAGAGATCATGCAAAATGCAGTCGCCAAAAGCAAGACTTTTATTTTTATGTTTACAAGTTTGTCAAGCAGTTATAACGTGCATTGTTCGGCAAGAATATTTAATTAACTAAACAAGCAATAACAATAACGTATAACCCAATTTCATATTGTTGTGGTTGTCACAATCCCCCGTTTTCCAATAAATAGACAATTTTATGGCGCTGTTTTAATATTTATTAAATAATACGCTAAAGAAGTATCGCTAGTAGCGCCACCACTCGGCTGTTAATATCGTAACAAAAGTGCAACTTTTGATAATCAGCTGTCAAACGCGTGTGTTACAAACGAGTGTTTTGTGTTGTTGGGTGTATTTCGAGAGGAAATCCTGGGTTGAGTTTTTACCGGTTTTCCAATAAACAGTGTTAATCTGAATGAAGAAATAAATTTCACATAGTCCCTGTAAATATAAATTGTATCTATAGATATCTATCTAATATATTAGATGCAATAAATACACATTTTAGTAGTGATTATAAATTGTATCTATAGATATCTATCTAATATATTAGATGCAATAAATACACATTTTAGTAGTGATTAACGTGAAAAGTGTAAACATTTCAATTCAGTAAAAATCGTCAAACAAATAAGTCGTCTAAATTTAAACAGCATTTAGCATTATTAAAAGCGTTGATTAAGAAAGTCTCCACTCAACGGTAAAATACCATTATATTATGTATTATGTATAATATTATGTTGCCATGAACTCGTAGGTATATTTTGTTGTTTAAAATGCAGTTGTCGGCGTTTTTTAGAGAACTCAAATATAAATATGATTGATTTTAAGGTTATGTTTGTGCAAAAACTATGTTTTACTAATTTCTTAAAAATCTCCAAACTTAAATATAAATTAAATAAGGTAAAGTTATCATTAGTTAATTCTGCACCAACAAATGTACTTACCGAATTGGATCCTTTGGCAAAACATGAAAATGCAACGATTTAGTTCTTGAATTTTATTTACAATTAAAAACACAATAATCCACCATGATCCCTTAGATAAAATACACACACTAACGTAACTATATAAGCATTTAAGCGTTGAGTTTCTTAATCAATGATATAACGAATAATCAATAGAAATCGAGTACTAAACCAGTTTTTTAGTTTTTTCCTTGCAACGTAAAACACAAATAACGTGCGCGATTTAGCTGTGCAATTGAACAAAATTTGTCGAGTAAGACTTCTATTTTGTGAAAAAACATTGACAATTCTTAAATTCACGCAATGCTGTTGAAGTCCACCAGATGGCGCGCGCGTTGCGAAAATCCGATACTTCTTTAGCGTTGAAGATTAAATGAAATTAAAAAATTATTTAATAAATGTTAAAACAGCGTGCCATACAATTTGCAGTGACTTTTCCGAAATTCGACTTTCTTTATTATTTTATTTTTTAGTCATAAACTAACAATATTTGAATGATGAGACAAACCACGTTAAATGTGTCAATGAGTTTTTATTCAATTTTTGGGAAGAAATATAGTCGTAAAAATTGTTCTTTTAAGTGTGACTTGATTTGACTCTTGCTGCTTTTTTAGTCGAGAAATTAACTAATGAAGACTTGAAAAAAATTGAATCGTTATTGTCATGTTTGATGATTTCGTAAAATTGAATTATTCGTAAATTTTGTATGAGCCGACTAATGAACTTGCAATATTGAATTAAGGTATAAAGATTAGGTTACAAAATAATAAAAAGTTTATTTAAATGAATACGATATATTTGTTGCTAAGTTTAAATTATTTATCCAAAAAACACATTTACTTATTTTGATAAAATATATCTTTTCAGTATTACTTATTTATATATAAACCTAAATTTTAAAATAAATAAGAAAAAGTTTTGTTATATTTGTTTGGTAAAGAAAAATGTTGTTTTGTAAAGGTTTTTAAAATAAAACATCAATTCCCCCAGGATAACTTTTCATGCATCAAATTGTTAGTTTTTCAATTTTTAGTTTGTGTTATTAAAACTACATGTTTTAAATAAATTGCCATGGCAAGACAATTTTTAATAAACATTGCGTGACAGTTATTATAATGGGCTAGAAAATAGAACTTTTACTTAAAATTATTTTTATATAAATAAGATACCTAGCTAATAAAATAATTAATTAAAAATTAAAATTCATTAGTCGGCATGTACAAAATTCACGAAAAAATAACGAAATTTTACAAAATATTCAAACATACCCTAGTGAAAAATTTTACATATTTAATTTTACTTTAGCAGCATTAAAATATTGTTATTCCCGATTCCATCAAAAAGACCACGTTTTGCGGAATAATCCTTACAAGCTTACCAAAATAAATAAATAGGTAAACTTTTTTATCATGTTTTTTAGTATCTTTTAAACAAAGCAAGATATAAAAAACTTAAAAGGCAAATTTTTAGTAAATTAATAACCCTGATAGCAAAATTTGATTTTAAGAATCTTCTAAGAAGATATGAACCGGAATAATGGAATATTCTTAGAACCTTCCCTTATTGCTAAGAATGTTCTTAGGGACTTTTAAAACATTCAATAGATACCCTTTTAATGATGCAATTAGATTCTTAAAAGCTTCTTAAAACCTTCCTAAAAAGCATCCTAAGAACATTTTAAGAATACTTTTTTGGAATGTTCTTAGAAGGTTTCTTATGGAGCTTCTAGGAAGCTTTTGAGAATATTCCAAATATGTCAGATACCCACGTTCTAATATGTTGTTTTCTACATTCGTAAAACTCTTCATTAGACGACAAATACGCCTCACTGTCATAATATGAAAGTGAAATGTATTTGTTGTCCCCTTAAAAAGTTTTGCGACATATTAATACCTATGTATTTATTAAAAAAAATTAAATAAACAATTTGACCTCTAAACCATCAGTTGTATGACATTATTTCATAAAAAGTAAAATTGGAAAATTTTGTGGGATAAGTCAGATTAGATTAAAGTTAAAGATAGGATTATTATACATGAAAATGTTGATTCAGAAATAAAAAATCGGTTTACAAATATTTTTGTTATCGAATATTGTTTTAATTTGACAAATAACTATAAAAAATATTAGATTGTGTTTTTTACTTAGTATTTAACACTAATTACTAATTAGGTACTTAAGCATAGGTATATTATACATAGTTTAGGGTTTATTTTTCTATTATATAGGTAAATGAACTAAATATGCTTAACTGAAATATTCCTAAATGAACTTTCTAAAGCAATTACTTACTTAACATTCTAAGCATATGTTTAGAGTAGACTAATTTTTACCACTAAAACTTTGCACCTTCTAAGAACCTGCCTATAGGCCATTAAGAATATTCTTAGGATCATGCTATATGTCTTTTAAGCATTTTCTTTAGAAGAAATATAGCATGATCCTAAGAATATTATCACTGGAAGGTTTAAAAAACATTCTTAGAATAAAGTGTGCTATCAGGGTAGTATGTTATTTACAAAAATAATAATTAACTTGGATTATAATAGGCTGTAATATTTACAAAATTTACATGATTTTAATGCATGACTAAATTATTTAATACTTTTTTGACTGTATCTATGCGTGCCATACAATAAACAATAAATGTCGTTTACAAATTTTAATACGACGGCAACAATGGCATCATAATATGATGCCATTGTTGCATAATGTTGCCATGTCCAAAATATGAATTAATAATTTGAATGTTCTACTATTAAAACAAAAAATAATTAAAGTTTCATACGTTTCGGGCGTAGTTGATTCTGCAACCGCCCTACCTAAAAATGCACATGGTATGAAATTATTTGCACAACATTTTTCTTTCTTGATGCTACAAGTATAATTTTTTTTAAATTTTTAATAACTCCCATTTGGTAAAAAAATGTTGTCTATAAATACACTCACAGGCAAAATAATCGATCCACACAAATTTTCGATGAATTTCAATCGCAAATATCTTTTTTATCTGATGTCGGATTTAAACGAATATTAAAGAATATCGTAGATAAATTAATGGACAATCGCTCACATTTTAAAAAATTACTAAAAAATAGACGTACGTTTATAATATACAGGTTTAAACAAAAAGATGTTTTTCACCATAAGTTTAAGACACTCTGTAGAGTGGCAAAACCGTATATTCTTATAAATTAAGTTTTAATTATCAAGTCACATCTATTTTTAACAGTTTAGTTTTTGGTTCACCTTGATATATTTATTTTTGTGAAAAATATGGATTTAAAAATCCATAGTCTATGGAGGATGACAGTGACAGTTTTGTTGAATCATCCCACACTTGGACATGTCATATACAGCTTTCAAAAGCTATCAAATTGTTTTTTGTAAATTAATGTGTTAATTTTGAGGTGTCTTCTTACTTTTAAAAATGTCTCCGACTGATGTTGCCCTTTGTACTTTACTTCTTGTGACGTTTAAAACACTTGCCACGTAATACTGTGACCGTTCATCCTGGATTAAATTAATGGCTCTGGCAACATCAGTCGGAGACATATCCATTTTTTAAAGTAAGAAGACACCTCAAAATTTAAACATTAATTTGCAAAAATCAATTTGATAGCTTTTGAAAGCCGTGTATGACATGTCCAAGTATGGGATGATTCAACAAAACTGTCACTGTCATTCTCCATAGCCTTTGGATGGACCATAGCAACCTTAGTTCTTCATACAGAAAAATATTGGAAATTGCAATGTTTTTTTAAAAAATCCATATTTTAGATGTGACTTGATAAATAAAACTTAATTAGAACAATATACGGTTTTGCCACTCTACAGAGTGTCTTAAACTTAGGGTAAAAAACATCTTTTTGTTTAAACCTGTAAATAATAAACGTACGTCTATTTTTTAGTAATTTTTTAAAATGTGAGCGATTGTCCATTAATCTATCTACAATATTCTTTAATATTCGTTTAAATCCGACATCAAATAAAAAAATTATTTGCTATTGAAATTCATCGAAAATTTGTGTGGATCGATTATTTTGCCTGTGAGTGTATATATTTTATAATTATAATAATTGTTAGTGAAAATTGGTTTTTAAACAAAATAAAATTGGTTTTTAAACAAAATGTTGTAAATTAACCTATTTTATTTAAAAGTTTCTTTAATACCCTATTTTACATCCCTTAACAGCGTCATCATGAATGATAAAAAACAGGTGTAAAAATACTTCACCTGGAAAATCTCCTACCAAAGAGTTATTAAAAATACTGTTAACAAAAGTAGATGTATTATCTGAAGCATGCGCATGATCAAAACGCATGCGGGAAGAACAACGAGTATTTTTAGGTAAAATTTAAAAAAGTTTTTTAAATTTTACTTCAAGTCTTAAGTAATTTAGTCCAGTCTAATCGTCAAAAAAAATTAATTGAAAGTTTTAAAATTGGTAGTGTTTACAGCGCCATCTATTAAAAATATGAAAAAATGTTTTAGACAAAATCTACCTATTTTTAATCGAATGATCCGAATCTGCAATAAAAAATGGGGTGTTCCATTGGAAACTTTAAAGTTACCCCTTGTTTCCCCTATAAGGAGGAGAGTATGAGGACCAATTTTAATACTAATTGATTTCCCCCCTCGAATGATTTAATTTTTATCTTAAACATTTTTTCGTAAAATGCATATTAACTGAGATATTTCAGTTTCAAGTTAAATGTATATTATTTTATATATATTATATACTAAGGTGGCATCCACTACTTTTTCTTAATTTTTCAAACATACCATTAAACTGGACGGTTGTCTGTGGGGTCAGCAGGTGTGTGCATTGTGCTGGAGGCGTTATAAAAAGGGGTTCGGGGTTCAAAAAAGGGGGTAGCTTAGCTAAAGTATCCTAGGCTTACCAGGGGACTGGCCAGGATTATGCCTATTCGGCTCAGAACAGCGGGCAGTCGCTGCAACATGACCAAACAACGGTACAATCTCACTTATTGAATGAGCCACTGATTTAAAGCATAAAGAGCTATTTAAAAGCTTCCATTTAAATTAGTTTGTTGGATACACAGGTCAACAAAATCTTACTAATAATTTACTGTATTACATTAAATATAAAAAAATCACAGAATAAGTTAAGAAATTAAGTTTTTAAATTAAAATATGCTACCCAGTAGCATAGTTCTGGCAATAGGATTTAGTTAAAAAATCTAGTACAAAAAATTATTGACCAAGGTTACCAAAACTTTAACATGCTTTTATAAGCATTGACACGAAGAAACCAAATTATTTTGCAGGTTATTTTTAAATAAAATATAATTTCTTGTATTTTTTATTTATGGTTGTTTCACTGTTAGTCTAGAATGGGGTTTTTGGGAAGCCACAAGGTCCAGTAATAACATAACATAAGTGGTTCTGCACTAATGCAAGAATTTTAAGAAATCATACATTTTGAATATTAAAGCTTCACGGAGGTTAGGCTTTCGTATGTTTTTTTTAAACATCCCTTTGTATATTTGAAATAAGTTATTGTATCTTCTGACACCTTAATATTTTTTAAAAATACAATTGTACTATGCTCCACACCTCAAAGTCCCACCACGTGACCACGTACGAAACGCAGTCTTTTGAAAATTTAAGGCTTTTCAGGTTATGTATCTGTCAAAGTATAGTCAACGAAAGAAATAATATTATGTTCAGGCGTTAAAAATGTATAAATCTTTATAACATTACAATAACAATGGATGGTTTAAGAATTTAAGAATATAAATACAGCATTTAATGAAATTCTAAAGTGTATGGTGCCAAATAAGTAATATTTTTGTGCATTTGGTCCAAATATCTGGTTTTCTCTATAAAATAATTTTAACTAAACAGCATTTATTAAAAAAAATCCAGCTTCTCGATTAAGGAATAAGAATATCTGTTTTAAAGGTAGGTTAATATATTATAACAAAAATATCATCTAATTTTGTAATTTTAAGGTTAGAAAAATTTATTTTGACCAAAAGTATTTTGAATTGATTAAAAGACTGTAAAATATGGTATTTAAAAATGTGGTAGTTTTTCTTATCCAGCTTAAAGTGTACCTAAATAAAGTTTTGTCAATACAAATAGTTAAAGAGCTTCGACTGAACTTGATCTACATCGAAAAATCATTATAACTTTAAAAATTTTAATAAATCACATGTCATGGGAGTATTAAATATTTTCACATTGCAAGTTTCTCTAAAAATTGTTTGTTTTCTTATAATCTAACTTAAAGTAGGTATGCCGAGAGGTATGCACAAGTTTTGTCATTAGAAGTATAAAAGCTTCAATTTAATTTGAACCATATTCAACAATTATTTAGTATACCTATATTTATTTATGACCATATTAACACACTCTTCCAAATAATCCACATATTTATTTTGGTCAAAATAGATTTTTCTAACCTTAAAATACAAAATTAGATGATATTTTTTGTTCTAATACATTAACCTACCTTTGATGCAGATATTCTTATTTTATAATAGAGAAGTTAGATTTTTTTTAATAAATGCTGTTTAGTTAAAACTATTTTATGGAGAAATGTAGACCCAATGCACAAAAATATCACTTATATTGCAACTTATACTTTGGAATTTCATTAAATGCAGTATTTATATTCCTAAATTTTTAAACCAACCATTGTTATTGTGATACTATAAAGATTTATTAACTTTTAACGCTTAAACATAAGCGGTAACACTATAAATATTATTTCTTTCATTGACTATACTTTGACAGATACATAACCTGAAAAGCCTTGAATGCCAAATTTTCAAAAGACTGCGTTCCGTACGTGGTCACGTGGTGGGACTTTGAGGTGTCGAGCATACATACATAAAATATTTATAAAAAAATCTACTTACTGAGATATTACACTTCACGGTGGATAGGTTTTTAAATAGCAAATTAATGAACTTAAACTTTTGAATTATAAAACAGCAACACTCATCTGCATATAAATTCTAACTCACATGCATCTATAATGTCGTAAACAGAGGTTTTTGCTTATTTAAAATGAATAAAGCGCCATCCGTTGCATAAAATTTAAAGCAAAAACAGATTCACGGAGGATAGAATCAATTTTCGTAACACCTACATAAATGGTTATAAAAATTATTTCTTTTAATTTTTAATAATATTTTATATTTGATTCGATTTGGATGTGTTTAATGTATTTAGTGAACCGATATTTTTAGTGTTCTTTTACTACCTCAGATAATTGAAATCATATAGGTTAACCTAGAAAGAGTTACAGTCACGAAGGATAGGTTTTAGATTTTTAAAACATTGTAAAAAATAATTAATTGCGGTTAAAAATCTGGAACCTGAGCTGTAATATCTACTTAATTATAAAAGATCAAAACACAATAAAAGTGTAGGTAAAACTCATTTAGTTTTATTAAATATCACGGGGGACATTTCATGAGATTCACCCAAATATAATTAAGGGATTTAGTGCAAGAACCATGTTTGGTTTTTGAAGGTTTTAAGTTTTTTTTTAATTTATAAAGTGTTTAAGGTATTTAAGTAAATTAGTCTTTGCTTATTAAAAAAAAAGGATGTTTAAAACAATAAAAATGTAAACATACTAAAAATTATTTTTGATTAATTTTAAATTTAAAATTGAAATAAGCAGATGAACCAGTAAGATTCATATAATGAAAATCAATAAATTCAACATGTATTATTTTGTATGATATGAATATGAATGAGCATCAGTAGGTTTAAGTGATTAAAACAATAACAAATATTGAATCAATGTCAATATTTTTTAAATCAAAATTTGCATAACAATAAAAGTTAAACCTGCAAAATAATTTAGACATCATTTTATTAACTTATATCAATAAATTATTTAAAAAAAAAGTTGATTTTATTTTAAAAACAAATATTTAATTAAACAGCTTTAAATGGGTATATTGCGCACTTTATTGATTAATAATTTAAATATCTAAAAATAAGACAATCAATTGTATTTTAAGCTATTTAATTATAGTTCTTGTATTTTAGATGCCCCATAAATAAATAAGTCCTCCAGGTTGTTCAAATTTTGAATATTCTAAACAACATCAAACTTAGTAAACATTCAATTTTCTTAGTTTCTTTAAGAAACTTTCTTGACCCATCACTGGTAATATTCATAAGAATATAAGAAAAAATTGAACCTACACCTCGCCAAAGTTTTTTGTTTTGAATGCGTACCACCAACTTCAAATACCGACAGACAGCTGTTTCGACCTTTATTGGGTCTCATCAGTGTCGGGCAACTTGGTGTAGTGGAACACAATCAAAACAAATTACTCCCTCAGCTTATATGCTCGGTTGTTAAGTCAACAGAGGCGAGATGTAAGAACATCAGGTGATCCACACCGTCAAACGATGTGGCCTTTGCTGCAATCGGTACATACTATGCAACCGGGACTGCACACAGCAATTGTATCACAGATACTAATATGGCCTAAAGGAATCTAGAATTAACCCAAACGGGCTAAACATTAAGGTAAACATTCAATTTTCTTAGTTTCTTTAAGAAACTTTCTTGACCCATCACTGGTAATATTCATAAGAATATAAGAAAAAATTGAACCTACACCTCGCCAAAGTTTTTTGTTTTGAATGCGTACCACCAACTTCAAATACCGACAGACAGCTGTTTCGACCTTTATTGGGTCTCATCAGTGTCGGGCAACTTGGTGTAGTGGAACACAATCAAAACAAATTACTCCCTCAGCTTATATGCTCGGTTGTTAAGTCAAACTTAGTGATAGGCAAAAACTGTGACTTAAAAACAATATACCTTAAAAATATCCATAGGATTTTATATTTCTAATTTCTTCTCTTTGGTTATTTGTAATCACGGCCCATTCGCCAATTTTGAAACAAAGGAGACAAATAGTGATATTTTTTTATAAACATTTTGAAAAAATACAACAAACAAAATACACACTTTTTGTAGATAGCAAAAATTTCCGAGAGCATATTACTTTCATAAATAGACAAATAAACAGTCAAATCGAAAAAAAAACCTAGCTAAGATTTTTTTCGAAATCTTGATAATGAGTCATTAGACAGCTTATATAAATAAGAACTTAAAATAACAAAAATTAATAGAAATTTTTTTAATTAAATATTGAAATATTTTTAATTTCTTAATTAAGGTTGAAAGTTAGCATCCCATTCTATTGTGATAGTAAAAACATTGATAATATAAAATATATATGGTGATAGTCCCAATGGATAAACAGAATTCTGAAGAAAATTCTTAACTAGGATTTTTTTTGAAATAAAACTCTAATTTGACTGGTCTATAAAGAGTAATTTTATAACTCGCGAGTTCAAAATAAACCTTACAACTCTGTTCTTACAATTACAATTTGTATTAGTTATTTCTGTAATTTACACTGTTCAAAATTTCATGACCATTTTAACACCAAATTAACACCATACATGGTCTATATCGATACAAACCAAAATGGTGTTAAATGTGGTTCGTTGGTCCAGTGTAAATTCAAATACTAAAATGGTGTACACAGTATTAAAATAAATTTTACCTGATTGAACTCCTTTTCAGTGTTAAAATATTATGTGTTTTTGGTCAAATTAAATCATACTGCACAGAAAAAAAGGAAACAGGAAGTTCCTTGACGCCTTACAAGTATATTACCAGTGGTATTATTCCAGAAAATTGAACTTTCAAACCGCTAGAGATAATGTTTTTAGTGCGTTCTACCAAATTAAAATACTTCAAGTATTGACAGCTGTTTCCACCTATTTAAGGTCTCTTTAGTATCGAACAACTTGTAGTGTCACACCAAAGCAAAGGACTACCTGAGCTTATATAATCTTCATGTAAGTCAACAGAGGCGAGATTTAAGAACATCACGTGATCCACACCGCCTTTTCCGCGATCGGTACACACTATGCAACCAGGAATGCACGGCAAATTGTTTTAATTGTTTTAAAAGAGTGCTTTAGGTTTAAGTAACTCTTATTTTACAAACAACATATTTAGTAAACTGAACCATACAGCGGGTTGGTTTCACTAAAGTTTTCTGGGTTAATTTAACCAATTTAAAAAATAAAATAACTATCTGGTTTAGTACCGTCAAACTAATCTTTGTTTATATTAATCTTCCCACAGTGGATTTAAATAAATACTTATGGGTCAACTAAATTAATATGGTTAAATGAACTAACTATTCCTTTTTTTCTGTGTAGGTGCACTTCTCAAATATTTTTATATAAACACCGTTTTGGTGTTTGCTGTATATAACATTTTCAACCATAATTCATGGTGTTTATATTAACACCACTTGGTGTTGGATTTTGACACCATTTTAAGATTACTCTTTACACCACAGATATTTTAAACAGTGTATTGGACATTAATTGAAAATAACTTGCACATAGAACAATGGGTTAAGTTTTGTTTAATAAACACTGTATTTAAGATTGGCGTTCGGTAGTTTTAATTGATGGTACTATCGAACGCATACGAATGTGGAAAATTATTGTTCCGATATTAATTACAAATATTTTTGAGGTATATTAAATGTAACAATTACAAACATGCATGCACTTCTAAATTCATGCAAAAGAGAAGAAACTAGAATATAAAAGATTGCAAGAAATTAAGTGTATTAAACAGACACTATCACACAAACTGACACAAAAAGTGAATAATTGCAGATTTTTTTTTAGTTTAGTTTATAACTTTATACAGAATTAAAATTTCATAAGGAATAATTATTCCACATATTTTTTAACCCTGGAAGGTACATGTAATTTTACTTTAAAAAACCGCAATTACCTCAAAAAAATATTTATAATGTATATAAAAAAAGAATAAATACAATTTTTTTAAATAAATTTACTTAATTTTTTTATTACAAATATACTTTCAGTAACTTTTTTAACACATAAATAAAGTTTTTACCTCATCTGTTATGGTAAAAAGAAATGTTAAAAGTGATACAAATTAATCTAATATAATGATGACCAATAAACAAAAACAAATTTTAAATCATTACTTAACCCTTATTTTAATTTAATTACACAGTTCAACAAGATTTTCCTCCCAAATTTGAAAAATAAAGTTTTAAAAAACAGTTATCGGACACTATAGTTATTGGACAATTAACATTATTACTGTAAAAACAAGAGTTCTATAAATAGTTACTTTAAAGTCAAATCATTAGATGACGCTGTATACAATTTTAACTATTTCAGTCGGTAACAATATAGAACTACTTTATTTTGGGTCCAATATAGGACAAAAAGTTCGCACGTTACTTTGGTGGTAAGATTTTTGTTTTTTTGTTAAGAGCAGGGCTGTGTTTAAATTACAATAAAAAATATTTCCAAAATGTGTACATATCAGTGTGTGGTATAAATGGGTTCCTCATGGTTTAAACATTGTCACTTTAATGCGTTTTAATTTTAACTCTGAAAACAAACTGTAAATTGGCCAGTGTCCAATTACTGGTTGGTAAAAAATGTAAATTTCTATTATTGGACATATGTCCAATAATAGAATTTTTATTCCGGAAATTTACCAGCCAATTCTTATGTAAAATTGTCCCCTGAATCCGAAAAGACCGTCAAAAACTATAAAAGTTAAGCAGTTTTTGAGATATAGTCAATTCCATATTATATGTAAAAAAAGATTATATTTCAAAAACTATTCTACTTTTATAACTTTGGACGACATTTTCGGATTCAGCGAATAATATTTTATAGAAATTGATTGCTAAATGTCCTGGATATAAATTGCTGTTGACGAGAATTATTAGTGGACGCTTTTTCGCTATGACATTTTTGACTAATTTATTTTTAGAGAGTAAGTAATATAGTGATTTCTTAGTCACAGGACATTAGACTAGGCTAAAAAAATCAACTATTTTTTTTTTGAAAAGTATATCGAAAATATGGTTTGGGGTGACAAAAAAAAATTATTGTAACAGTTTGAGTCCATAATATAAATATTAAGAGGTCTATCATCGCAATTTTAATTTTTTTTTCCTTAGCAAGTTTTTGTCTTAGAACTCCCAAACCACTGAGTTTAACAAAATTGACTAAAAAATATTGTTTTAAGAAAATTAAATTCTCTACAAAAAAGGTTAAAGTGAAATTTTCCGTCAGATGAAACATTTCCTTAAAATCATGCCTTAAAAATTGGTATAGTTTTACATTTTGATCTTTTAAATTGAAATATTGTAATTCATGTAAAAATCAGTACCCATAAAAAAACGATAAATATTCTTATGGGAAAATTCACTCAATCAAAAGTTATTCAAGGTTAAAATTTCGTTTTGACTTCAAATTTCACCTTGAATAACTGTTGATAGAGTGAATTTAGCCAAAAATGATATTTGTAGAGCATTTGATTTCCCATTAGAATATTTATCGGTTTTTTCCGGGTACCGAGTTTTACATGAATTACAAAATTCCAAAGTTAAAAGATCAAATTGTAAAACTATATAAATTTTTAAGGCATGATTGTAAGAAAACGGTTCATCTGACGGGAGATTCCAATCAAACCTTTTTTGTAGAGCATTCAATTTTCTTCAAAAAATATTCTAAAGTCAAATTTGTTAAACTCAATGGTTTAGGAGTTCTGAGACAAAAACTCGCTCAGGAAAAAAAAAACTAAAATTGCGATGATAGACCTCTTAATATTAATATTATGGACTCAAACTTTCACCATAATTTTATTTTGTCACCCACAACAATATTTTCCATATACTTTACAAAAAAAATAGTCGATTTTTTTTGGCCCAGTCTACAGGACATCTTGCAGAATAACAGTGCATGATAGAGATCATAAAAAACTAATGGCAAGAAATTTAATAAATTCGGAAAATAGTTTTAACATACCACCCGAAAAAATATTAGATATAAATCATTTTGTTCCGTCCTAAACATTATACATGCTTCACAAACTTCAGATACCACACTTGGTCCATGTGTCCAATTACTATATAAAATGTCCAATTACTATACTTTTTTGCATGTTTTTATAAAACTAGTATTAAAAATTCAAATATTCTTATTTTTAAGTAAACGTGAATAAAGTACAAAAAATAACTTCTGGTTTTAATTTTTGTTTTATATTTAATATATGTTGGAAACAAATCTTGGTTATAGGCTATTTTTTATTTTTTTTACCCAAGTCTATTTTTAAAATCTATAGGAAGTTTGTATGGGAGAAGAAAAAACAAATTTTATCGTACTGTGTTAACTGTTAACGATTTTGCAGTTTTATTTTTGGTTGAGATATCCCCATGTATAACCCATTATTTTTTTTTGTAATAAAAACATATTTCTAAAAAATCTAAAAAAAATCTCAAAAATGTTTGACTTCAACCAACTAAACTTTAACTCGTTTCACCGTTCAAGATAAAAATATCAGTTCGGTATACTGACCTGGGTGACTGGGTTTTCTCCCGGCCTGTAGACGACGTTGTGAAGCGGACGCTTTCTACCCACGTAGTTCACACACACGAACTCTAGCAGTGAAGCGTAGATGAAGCACATGCACACCCCGTCCCACACGTTCATAGCAGTCAGATTCGACACCACTGGCAACGTCGAGCGGAAGCCGTTCGACGTCGTGAAGAAATTGAGCATTGTAGTCACACCTTCAAAAAAGTTTTACCAGAGAGTTATTGATTGCCCCTTAGTTTAATTATCAAGTCACATCTATTTTTAACAGTTTTGTTTTTGGTTCACCTCGATATATATATTTTTGTGGAAAATATGGATTTTTTAAAAAACATTGCAATTTCCAATATTTTCCTGTATGAAGAACTAAGGTTGCTATGGTCCATCCATAGGCTATGGAGAATGACAGTGACAGTTTTGTTGAATCATCCCATACTTGGACATGTCATACAGGGCTTTCAAAAGCTATCAAATTGTTTTTTGCAAATTAATGTTTAAATTTTAAGGTGTCTTCTTACTTTAAAAAATGGATATGTCTCCGACTGCTGTTGCCAGAGACATTAATTTAATCCAGGATGGACGGTCACAGTATTACGTGTCAAGTGTTTTAAACGTCACAAGAAGTAAAGTACAAAGGGCAACATCAGTCGGAGACATTTTTAAAAGTAAGAAGACACCTTAAAAGTAACACATTAATTTGCAAAAAACAATTTGATAGCTTTTGAAAGCCGTGTATGACATGTCCAAGTATGGGATGATTCAACAAAACTGTCACTGTCATTCTCCATAGCCTATGAATGGACCATAGCAACCTTAGTTCTTCATATAGAAAAATATTGAAAATTGCAATGTTTTTTAAAAAAATCCATATTTTCCACAAAAATTAATATATCGAGGTGAACCAAAAACAAAACTGTTAAGAATAGATGTGACTTGAAAAATATAACTTAATTTAGAACAATATACGGTTTTGCCACTCTACAGAGTATCTTAAACTTATGGTAAAAAACATCTTTTTGTTTAAACCTGTATATTATAAACGTACGCCTATTTCTTAGTAATTTTTTAAAATGTGAGCGATTGTCCATTAATTTATCTACAATATTCTTTATTATTCGTTAAATCCAATCAAATAAAAAAGTTATTTGCGATTGAAATTCATCGAAAATTTGTGTGGATCGATTATTTTGCCTGTGAGTGTATAAACCCAAACTAAATAAAAATATGTGCTTTCTCCGCCTGGTCTATAATGTACTATTGTTTATGAAGTCAATAAAAAACATTTTTTATGGGGTTCCATCTTTTTTTGACAAGCCTTGTATATTGAATAACTTTGGAATTATTTAAGCTAGAAACATAAAATATGGTGAATGTGTTGAGTATATTGGTAACTTATATTTTGCCAAATATCAAATATCCATTTAAAATTTATTTTTTATTTTGTACAAGACGGCATAACAAGAATGGGCATAATATCCACATTTACGGCCTCATCATTTTGAATTCTTTGATTCTCGTAAATATTTTTGTATTAGCATACAGCCATGTAAGAGTATTGAATGTCAATAAATATACATGTATAATCAAAGGATATACTTTTGGAATTTGATATTTCTGTTTTTATGTTTTGACCTTATTTTTTTGGGAATGTATTTATTTTAATGCTTTTTAAAATGATGAGGGTTTTGTGAATGTTTTGTTATTTTAATTTTTTAGGATTTCTTCTCATTTTTTTATTTAAAGTGGTAGGGGCTCAATTATTTTAAAAATCTAAATTTTTTGGAGTACCTTCGGGATATTAAAAATATATAATTTTTTTAGGATTTCTTCTAATTTTTTTATTAAAAGGCTTGCAATAAAAAAATCGAAAAAATTACCATATAAATAATTCCTTAAATATCTTTTTTATTAAATTTTAATTTGAACATGTCAAATTTGCGCCTATTTTAGTACCGTACACAAAATTTTAGCCAAATCGGTGAAAGAATTAGGTACCCAAATAATATTATGCATTTTTGTGAAATACTTTCAAAAATGGCGAATGCAACGGGATTAATTAACATAAAAGTATGCAATTTACAAAAAAAAATTTTAAATAAAAATTAAATGATTCGAGGGGGGAAATCAATCAGTACCAAAATTGGCCCTCATACTCTCCTCCTTTTGGGGGGAACAGGGGGTAACTTTAAAATTTACAATGGAACACCCTATTTTTTATTGCAGATTCGGATCATTCGACTAAAAATAGGTAGATTTTGTCTGAAACATTTTTTCATATTTGTAATAGATGGCGCTGTAATGAAAAAAATCAATTTTGTTCGATTTTTCTTCTGTATCCGATTCTGCAATAATTTTTCTATAAAAATATCACTTTTTTGGTAATAATTATCTTAAATCTTAAATCTGATTTTTTAAGTACCCACGATTTTTTAAAGAATATTTAAGTTTCTTTTGGTTTAAGTTTTATACATTTTTATTTTATTATTCATTTAGTGATATCAATTGCGCACCGTGGTCACTTTTTACCTGCCAACATTAAATCCTTTAATTTAAAGGATTATTGTACTATTTTTAATAAAAATACCTCATTTAAGGTAAAAAAACATTATTTTGTCAATTAATTAATTTAATCCTAATTGAGGTATAAAAAATGGTACTTAGTTATAAATAATAATTATTATTGAGGTATAAAGAAACTATTTATAAATAGTTTAGCATTATTTAATATATTTAGTTCAAAGATTAATTTGCAAACAAAAAGACCTACTTTTGTTAAGCAGTTATTCATAATGGATTTTTTAACAGTGGAAGAAAAAATAGAAATGATTTTGATTTATGGAGAAGCAGGCAGGTATCTTGATGATGCCGTTAATATCTACGCTCAGCGTTTTCCGGATAAAATTCGATCACGTACTTTATTTCACCGTACAGTCAAGCAGTTTACTACAAACGGGAGTGTTCAACCGAAAAAAGAGTTCGTCGAGCAACAGTCACAGGTGGAAATAATGAAATTAATGTATTAGCAGCAACGGCCGCTAATCTTCATGCAAGCACACGATAATTATCTAGAGATTTGGAAATATCCCAGAGCAGTGTTAGCAGAATATTAAAACAAAATAAATAAATAAATTTAAAAAATAAAACCAAGTATTTTATTTAAAAATTATTGGAGAATAGAAGAGAGAAAACATTTAATTAAGTTGTTTACCAAGAACAGTTTTCATAACTATTCAATTTTGTTTTCATTGGATTTGCCCAAGTATCCGTAAAATGTCATTATTATGCATATTATCATTCTTCCACTACAAAAAACATAAATTTGTCAACAAAGCAATCCAACAAAAACTGTACTATATGATTTAATCATTTCCAAACATAACCTTTTTGTTGTTCATATCAAGATTTGTCATGCATAATAAGATTTACTGTCTTTTTCCTATAATAGAGTTTATAATTTTACAATTTTATATCTTATTAGATTTTATACAGTTGTACCTACACTGTTATAAACATTGGATTTGTTAATATGAGTTTGTAATTTGTTAATTTTATTTTGTCAAATTTTAACATAATTTTTTGTAGAAAACCAGGGGTTTTAATTATTTTAACAAAGGAAACTATTTTACCGAAAGTTTTGCCATGTCTCACTATGATTTTCTTGTGTAGTTTGGCTCACTAAACGCGAAAATCACACTTCGAATTTTTTTCAAGGATGCGTTTTCGAGATATGAATTTTCAATTGTTTTTTATTTTAATTTTCTGAGGTGTTTTGACGTTTAAGAGTATACCTCGATTTGACCAAACAAGCACTTAAATCAATTGAGCCCTCTACAACTTTCTCTTATATAGTTTTGGTATCGGCTCAGTAGTTCGATACTGGCGATTTTATGAAGTTGAAAAGTCCTTTTTTGTTTACAAAAATCGAGGTCGAAAATTTACATATCTTTCTGGGAAAGTAGAAATCTAAAAGATAACTCCAGTTTGATTTAAAAAAATAAGCTGCTGTTGATAAAAATCCATGGATAAATGAATTTTGGTCTTCCACTAAAAATATCACACATTTTGTAAAAATTTTAGCTTCACGAAAAAAAATCAAACTGGAGTTACATGTTTGATTTAAACCTTTCCCAGGACGATATGTAAATTTTCGACCTCAATTTTTGCCATAAAAACGAATTTTTTAAGTTATTAAAATCGCTAGCGTCAAAATACTTATCCGATATTAAAAGCATGTAAAAGAAAGTTTTAGAGGGCTCAAATACCTTTAATTTAAGGGCTTGTTCGACCAAATCGATCAATTAGATTTCAAGCTATACTCCAAAATGCCAAAACACCTCCGAAAATTGAAAAACCCAATTACTAAATAATTGAATACAAATAAAAGTTTGTTTTTACTTTACGTGTACACAGATATTCAACTATAATTAAATGTTTTGCATAAAAACGCTCATATCTAGTTTTGCTACCATTTGTATGGTTCTATTACCATATACATTAAAAGTAATATGTGTTTTTATTGCTGGTTTTACAAAATTAATAATTTGTTATTTCACGTTTTAATTATAAAATCAAATTTAAAATTCAAAATTTTATTTATGAGTAAATTTAAATAAGTCAATTTTTTTAAATGCATTTTTATAATTTTTTAATTATACAGTCATTTAACTTGAAACTGAAATATCTCAGTTATATGCATTTAAATAAAAATTAAATGATTCGAGGGGGGAAATCAATCAGTACTAAAATTGGTCCTCATACTCTCCTCCTTATAGGGGGAACAGGGGGTAACTTTAAAATTTCCAATGGAACACCCTATTTTTTATTGCAGATTCGGATCATTCGACTAAAAATAGGTAGATTTTGCCTAAAACACTTTTTCATATTTTTAATAGATGGCGCTGTAATGAAAAAAATCAATTTTGTTCGATTTTCTTCTGTATACGATTCTCCAATAATTGGTTTTATTTTTTAAATTTATTTATTTATTTCGTTTTAATATTCTTCCAACACTGCTCTGGAATATTCCCAAATCTCTAGATAATTCTCGTGTGCTTGCATGAGGATTAGCGGCCGTTGCTGCTAATACATTAATTTCATTATTTCCACCTGTGACTGTTGCTCGACGAACTTTTTTTTTTGGTTGAACACTTCCGTTCGTTGTAAACTGCTTGACTGTACGGTGAAATGAAGTACGCGATCGAATTTTATCCGGAAAACGCTGAGCGTAGGTTTCTATTTTTTCTTCCACTGTCCATTATGAATAACAGTTACTGCTTAATGAAAGTAGGTCTTTTTGTTTGCAAATTAATCTTCGAACTAAATTGATTAAATAAAGCTTAACTATAAATAGTTTTTTTATACCTCAATAATAATTATTATTTGTAATTAAATATTATTTTTTTATATCTCAATTACGATTAAATTAATTAATTGACAAAACAATATTCCTTTAAATTAAAGGATTTAATGCTGGCAGGTAAAAAGTGACCATGGTGCGCAATTGATAATGATCACCGAATGAAATAATGTGTAAAACTTAAACCAAATGAATACTTAAATATTAGTTAAAAAATAGTGGGTATAGAACAAATTTTCAAAATTGAATACTTATTTGAAAATTATAAGCTTTCTGTACAAGGATTTTTAAAATTGCACCCTAACGTCAGGATTTTGAAAAATTCCAACCCAAAAGTATAAGAAACGCGTTTTTTTTCAGCTTAAATTCATTTTAATATTAAACTATTCACAACTTTATATGAAAGGATTTCCTACATTAAAATGTGCTTTCATTGTTAATTAAAATTAAAATGTTATTCATACCAATCATAACTCTGGCGGGCACTGCATTCCACTCAAGCCAAAATGTGATAAACGAAGACGTGACTAATATGATCCCGGGAATAAACACCGTCGTAAAATAGAAGGCCCTGTCCCGAGTGAATATCAGGTCCACCTTAAGGCAGCTGTAGTTCCCTGAAATTAAAAATACCACACTAATCATTAAAGCTTTAACATTAGCTAAAATAATGTTAGCGTAATGGTTAGGTAATAAAAAATTTATTCACACCGATACCTTCCAAAGCCATATACTACCTTGTTAAACCTTTTTTTTGAGAGAGAGAAAAAACATCATAAGCCACCTATGTTTAGTTGATGTTATTTTGACTACGAACTAAAGTGTATTATATTAATAAAAAAGCAAATAAAAATGAAGTGTATTTAAAAATGTATTTACCCAACAAAAAATATTTACTAATTTAAAATTTTGTCTTAAATGTATAGCCATAAATTATGTAATAGGTATTATAATAATATATTCTTTTTGTTAAAAAAAAAACGTGCGATTTTTTATTTTTCATCATTGTTTAGAATATTTAAGCACAATACAATCTTTTATTTGAAACACGATATTTTACTACACAAAAGGAATATAAGAAGGTTTAAAATCTCTTTTGAAAAACATGCTCCTTAGACTGCAAAGGAATGTATATATATCATATATTATATGGGATATTTTCAAATTTCTGGTACATTTGTAAATTATATTCACTAAATAACCCCTAAAATGTGTCCCTTAATTTTGGTCCCCTAGGTCAAAAATTAATTATAATATATTTTTGAAATAATAAAGTTTTAAAAATATTTTTTTGACCTTCCATCTTTTCTGTTTCTGACAGTACGTAACCAATTTAAAAAAATGTCCTCCACCTTTTTAATTGTAATTTTCCTAGTCAATGTATTTTGCCTCAAAGAAGCTGAAAATTTTTGCTAGTTCAACGAGACAATGTTTATATTGACTTTTTATTATTATTTTATGAATATTACTAATAACTTAAACTTTATTTATTTATTGCTCATTAAATTGGACAAGCTGGGCCCAGTTAAAAATTGAGAAAAAACGTTTTTAATACGCATTAAAAAAAGTTTCTTAGTGGACATTTTTTAAATACAGAAAATATATTAAATATATTTATGTATGTAAGGAAGTTAAGAAATAGAACATAGTTTTTGCTTTTACTTAGTTTTGTACTCAATTTTTTTATAAATAATAAATTTATGTTCTTTTTTTAAACAAATCCTAGTGCACTAGGATGCATGTAAATTAAACTTTAAAAGGATTATTAACAATCAAAAAAATAAATAATAATAATTTGTGACCCAGGGGACAATTTTTTTTCTTTTTTCTTTTTTAAGGACTTATTGAAAAAAATCCAACTGCCCACTTTTAGCTGTCAAATAACACCCCTCAATAAACAAAATTTAAAAAAAACAGGTTTGTAGATTAGGTTTCTGTTTTTACTTTTTTCTTCTTTAAAAGTATAAGAATTTTGAAAATGACCCATATACAGTGTTTTCTTTCTTAAAACCGTTTCTAGGATGTGTGGAAAATCAGTATGAACACAAAAATGACCTTCACAACAAAAAATTAAAACCAAATTTCAAGATTAAAAGATTCAACTATTAAAGTATGCATTAGCACTTATCTTTTAATAAAATATTAAAACTAAAAAGGAACTGGGAAGAATTATTAAAATGCCTGAATTACTTTTTGTAAGTTTTATACTTAAAATGGTTTTAAAATATAAATGTTTAATGCATGTTTAAAATATTCATTTTATTTTATTTTAACGAATACTGTTGGCTCGAATTTTATCGCATTTTTTAATACATATTTTTTTTAAAATTTAATTAACGGTATACATACAAGTTTAATAAAAGGCATGGAATGACCTTATTACAACCCACATAAATATTATTAATTTAAAATTTGTGCTTTATATAAGGTTTATAAAAAAACAAAAAAAATTGCTTTATCTATAGTTTAAAAAAATGTTTGCCTACACTTCAAAAATTTTTGCTATTGCTTGTTCTAGTTTTAAAAATGTTTAAATTAAAGTGAGAATAATGATAAATATAAAAAGTAAAAAAAAAACTATACAAGAAAGACTAAAATTTAAAAAAATATTGCTTAAGCTCATTAACACGGTGGTCAAAACTAAAGTATAGGACGAACAAAAATGTCAACCAAAACTGATAGCATAATCTGATTATAGACTATTTTGGTAACACAAAAATGTATTTATCAAAATCCCAGCTGATCCTTTATTAAAGTTCTGCATATTTCTTAGTCTTTTAAAATTGTGTATGCAATTTCGATAAAATACTCTAGTACCATTATCAAATGTTTTTAAAAATTTGGCAGATACATGACTGAAATATGGATAAATTACATTATAAATACAAAATAATGTAAAATACAGTTTGCAATATCTTATTTATTGTTTTAAGGTAACTAATACAAAACTAATAAATAACTAAAGATTCTTTGAAGCAAAATCGATTATTGCTTGACTTAAATTTTCAGTAAAACTTTTTCTAGGGTTTTAGATGGAATGGTTTTTAACATGGAAACAGTATTTTTAAATTCTTTAGTCTCTGTACAAACATGCTTCTTACATCTAGCAATATTCCCTAGAAAGGAAGAGCATATCAAAACTTTAGTTCGTTCGTCCGTCCTCTTCCCTTAATAATTTTTTATGCCCTTTATATCTTGCCATTTTGCAGATAAAGCACATACATTCTTGGCTGCCGCGAAATTCTCTAGCAATTTCTAAATTTTGGAAATTTGGCATTTGTGGCTATGCAAAAATACGGTTTTTACCATATTGAAGTAGGTAATTTTGAATAACATAAGTCTGCAGTAATTTTTATATTTTCTCAGAAACCCTAAACTCTGAATTTTTCGATTACCAAAAACAATTTTTTCTCCACAGCCAGCACATACCTTCTTTCGAATTTCTTCATGGCTTAACTTGAATTTCGGTTTAATTTTCATTTTAAAATACTATTTTTAACTTTATAAAGTATACATTAAATAAAAAACTAAAGCAAAATGTCACTTGTGTTATAACGTATAGCAATTTTTTTCATAACCACCATAATTATTGTTTTACAAAATTTGCAAGTTGTAATTATTTCATAGAAAAACTTCCAGTATTTTTTGTTATAAAAAATATTTAATATAAATCTTCGTTTTTTTTTGTTATGTTTTGTTTTGAGTGGTAAAAAATAATAGGTGTCTCAATAAATTAATACTGGGGAGTAAAGTAGTTTAAATGATACAAAGTTTATTATTTTGCTTAATTTTATTAAAATTGTACAGGTAGTTTTAGTATAATAATTGCAAAATAATATATAGAAATAGAAAAACAAAAAAGTTTGCAAAACTTTAAAATAGGATCAGCTGGGATTTTGATAAATACATGTTAGTGTTACCAAAAGGGTCTATAATCAAAATATGCTATCAGTTTTGGTTGGATTTTTGTTCGTCCTATACTTAAGTTTTGACCACCGTGTTAAGTAGGGTTTAAAGTGTCGTTTGTATAGATTTATAATAAAAAATAGTCATTCGGTTTATTTTATACAGGGTGAGTCATTTAACTTGAAACTTTGAAATATCTCAGTTAGTATGCATTTTACGAAAAAATGTTTAAAATAAAAATTTAATGATTCGAGGGAGGAAAATCAATCAGTACTAAAATTGGTCCTCATACTCTCCTCCTTATAGGGGGAACAGGGGGTAACTTTAAAATTTCCAATGGAACACCTTAAACTGCTTAACGAAAAGACCTCCTTTTGTTTGCAAATTAATCTTCGAACAAATTGATTAAATAATGCTAAATTATAAATAGTTTCTTTAACCTCAATAATAATAATTAGGATTAAATTAATTAACTGACAAAATTATGTTTTTTTTACCTTAAATGAGGTATTTTTATTAAAAATAGTACAATAATCCTTTGAATTAAAGGATTTAATGCTGGCAGGTAAAAAGTGACCATGGTGCGCAATTGATAATTATCACCGAATACCCTATAAGGAGGAGAGTATGAGGACCAATTTTAGTACTGATTGATTTTACCCCTCGAATCATTTAATTTTTATTTTAAATTTTTTTTTAGTAAAATGCATACTTAGTTTCAAGTTAAATGACTCCCCTGTACAATTATTGTGAATCGTTAATGCAGACTATCCATTATAATTTTGCAAAACTCGTTCACAATGTATACAAACTTTGTTAAATTTTTATTATTAAATCTACTTTAAAGTAACACTTTAACACCCTAGTATAAATGTGTGTGTGTATTACACATTGTGTAACGATAAGTTAAGCAATAACTTTCCCAGAGATGTCTGAAAGTAGAATAATAGAATAGTATGAAGACGTGTGGATAATGTATTATGAAGGTAAAGAGAGCATGTGTGTGAATTGTACCTTCTTGTAACTGATATCGTTTTTCGCATAGATCGCAGATGTGGATGCAGGCGTCTTCATCCTCTTCCTGTTCCTGCCCCGCTGAAATATTACACACACTAGCGACAAACTTTCCAAACAAAGCCGATGGCAAAGCTTCCAACCCACTCATAGCCTTATAATGAGCCATAATACTTTTATCAGCGGTTTAATCCAAACAATATGGTTTCTTTGTTTAAATAAAATTTTAGGCTGCTTATGCCACCTGTTTCTTTCTAGATTTGAATCTAAAATACTTTGTTTTTATATCTTATGACTCAAAAACCACTAGTTGAATTTTTAAAAAATTCTGCCCGTGACATAAAGTCACGGCTTGTCAATGTGGGAGTGGATAATAGTTATTTATGTATTAAGGGCATAATAAGGTTTTTATGGTCCGAGGCGCTATTTCGAGCCCGAGCGCGTCAGCGCGAGGGCTAGAAAAGCGTCGTAGGACCATAAAAACCAGTTATGCCAGCAATGCATACAAAACTTTATGCACGATTAATATATTATTATTTTTAATATATTATTGTTTATAAAGACGTTTACGTCAAAGAATTTTTGTTATAATTGTCATATTATAATGTCAACTGACATCAGTCAGTTTTAAAGTTTAAAGATAAATGAAATTGAGGAAGCAGCTGAAAAGGCGAAAAATTGCGGCCTGCTGCAGGTAAAATCAAAATCTTTATACGAAAAAACTTAATTCGAATATATCAAATGGTGTAACATTGTTGTTTTTAATTTTTGACGTTTCATTATAGCCCGCTGGGCCATAATAACGCCCGCGGGCTATAAAAAGACGTTTACGTCAAAGAATTTTTGTTATAATTGTCATATTATAATGTCATCGTGCATAAAATTATATATTAGACATCAGTCTGTAGATTATTCCTTCAAGATAGTAAGCGACTTTTGGAATACCCTGTATATTATTTATCGAAAATTATAAAAAAAATATAAAGAATTTATTCTTTTAAAGAAAATGCAAGGTTACTAATTTAAAAAATAATAATTTTCTTAAAATATTAACCATAAAATGTAAACGTACGTAATTTTCTATAATCAAGAGAAAAATAAATTATTACGTTATACTACATAAGTGGGTTAGAATTTATTTAAAATTACTTTAATTTACAATTTATATTTACATTATAGTTTATTCAATCCATACTTCAAATTTTTCATGAGTATAAAATTATATACAATTAAATATAAAGGAATTATTTTGCATTTTTTATTAATTTAATATTATATTTATAAAATTTTGTGTTTATTATCAAATCTTACACTGTTAAAAATGTCAGTAACTTGCTAAAAAAAATACTAAATATGTTTAGTAATTTTAAAATAGTGTATTGTAATTATAGTATACAATTAATTTCAACAATATATAAAAGATAGGTTTTTAAAAAACAATTGTTTAGCACTAGGAAATTTGGATCACCCTGTATGAAAGTCTTAAATTAAAAAATTTTGATTAAAAATAATAACCATCATAAAAGTATTACGTCGAAGTAAATCATTCAATCCCCGACATTTATCTGGAAATTCATTTTAAAAGCAGGTATAAATTTTTATTTACCAATAAAAATTTTGTTTTGTTTGTGCTAATACCGCTTCTCTAAGTATTTGCCATCTCGAAAAGTGCATGTGCTGTGTTAGGTGTAAAACCAAATAAAATGTTTAATATGTACAGTGTCGTAAACATCAAATTATGATATATAAAGATTTTATGTTTTTTTTCCAAAATCTAATTCAAATCACCTAGTAAAATGGTAGTTTTTATGTTAAACAAATATCAAAAGTATAAACGTCATTAGTTAATAGTCAATAAGACTGTCTTGCCTTAAACTAAAAAGCAATATTTTTAGGCAAAAGGCAGTTTGTTTCGTATGTGCCTTGCACCACACGGCACCCGACACTAATGGGTCCAAAAGACTTAAGTAGAGTTGTTTTTGGCCAACTTATTTTGTAATGAAGTTTTGTCGAAAATTGTAATGCAGATTGATGGAAACGCAAATAATTGATCAGCATGGAAAAAGAATTAATTTACTATGCGCAATAGCGAATTATAGGTACGTCGTAAAAAGTTAATTAATATTTCAAGACCTTCTCTACAAAAAGGCGTAAAAAAGTGCTTGTATGAAAGTTATTAGGTAAACCACATAGTTATTGGACACTTAAGGAATATTATTTAATTAAAATTTATATATGCCGTTGTTTTAAGAATATTTGAATTTTTAATAATAGTTTCATAAAAACATGCAAAAAAGTATAGTAATTGGACATTTTATATAATAATTGGACACATGGACCATAGTTATTGGACATACAATTTTTATATAAACATAACAACTTTACCTCAAATAACATAAATTGTTAAATATTTTTTAAAGATAAATTTTGTTTTAAGTAATTTTCTTTATTTAGTTTTTATAAATATCATAAAATTTATATATTTCTTTCTCGGATTCCTCATGCGTTTTCTGGATTCTGAAGGTAACTACTAATTCCTTGGTCTGACTTCTGAAATAGTTTGTTGCAAATATCATTAAGTGTGGTATCTCTAGTTTGTGAAACATTTATAATTTTTAGGCCGGAACAGGATGATTTATATATGGGGAATTCTTCCAATTTTTTTACATTTTTTAGTACTCCTAGAAAGAGCTTTCTCAGTAAATTTTGAGATTTTTTTGATCACGAGTTCAAAAGATCAAATTTTCAAAAAAACTGCTCATTCTATATAAAATTTTCGTTTTTCTTTTCGAAAAAAAATATATTGAAAATATATATAATATATATAAGCGTGTTTTTAAAAATGTGTGTCTTCCTCGATTTTCGCGAAAAATTTTTATTTTCAACTTCTATCTATTCAACAACCATTCAGCCTGGTCCGGTAGTGATCCCATAATTAGTATTTTTTTTTTTGGAACTTATAGAGAATTTTTTTAAGTTTGAAAAATCGTAAAAAATAGTAATTATGGAAGGGCCACTACCGTACCAGGCTGAATAGTAGTTGAATAGATAGAAGTTAAAAATAAAAAATTTTCGCGAAAATCTAAGAAGACACACATTTTTAAAAACACGATTTAAACTTTAAAACTTAAAAATCTTGACTTAAAAGTTTTAAGTTAAAACGCTTCAAATATTTTCAATATATTTTTTTTTCGAAAAGAACATTTAAAAACGAAAATTTTATATTCAATGAACATTTTGATTTGGATCATTTTTTAAGAAGTTATGAGCGAAAAGTTTTTTTGAAAATTTGTTTTCTTGAACCCGTGATCAAAAAAATCTCAAAATTTACTGAGAAAGCTCTTTCAAGGTACTAAAAAATATAAAAAAATTGGGGAAAAATTTTTTTTAAAACATCATATATCTAATATTTTTTCGGGTGCTATGTTAAAAGTATTTTCCGAATTTATTAATTTTGTTGCCATTAGTTTTTTATGCTCTCTATCATGCACTGTATTTAAATCACTGTTATTCTGCAAGATGTCCTGTGACGAAGAAATTACTACATTACTTACTCTCTAAAAATGAATTAGTCAAAATTGTCATAGCGAAAAAGCAGCCACTAATAATTCTCGTCAACACCAATTTTGATTGACTATATCTCAAAAACTGCTTAACTTTTATAGTTTTTGACGGTCTTTTCGGATTCAGGGGACAATTTTACATAAGAATTGGCTGGTAAATGTCCGGGATACAAATAAAGTATGATATTGGACATATGTCCAATAATAGAAATTTACATTTTTTACCAACCAGTAATTGGACACTGGCCATTTTACTGTTTGTTTTCAGAATTAAAATTAAAATGAATTAAAGTGACAATGTTTAAACCATGAACACATTTATACCACACACTGATATGTACACTTTTAACAAAATGACAATCACGAGTATACTTATAACTAAGATAAAATAATAATATTAAAAGCTTGCGACATTTTTCCACATTATCACGTGGATAACATTACAACAATGTTACTAGATGATTTGATCAAAGGCAGCCGGGTATTCCGGCGTCACTCACCTCGCCAACTAGATTTTATCGGACATATGAGCGTCTGATTCTCGATGAGATACGCGTTCAACGTGGTCAAGCTGGGCGATTTTCTCAGCACATCCTCGTCATTCTTCCACACGTACTTGATGGCCGTCATCTCGTAGGATACTGCAACAATGAAACGAAACTTTCAAATGGGAGAAATTTCAAATTTCAATTTCATAGCTTAAATAATAATTTTAAAAACTGACTGAGATGCCCCCTTTAGGCATGCACAGTAAACCGAACAATATAGAAGTGTATAGGATGACTCTCCGTTTGAATACTTAATCTTAAAGTTTTATCAGAACTGTATTGAATCATGCTTTGTTTTTATATTTTTCGCCTCTATACCTATGCACGACTTTAGTTAAAGTCAAACTCAATGGTGTCTTGCAAGATTTTTGATGGCATCGTTCAATACAGTTTTATATCTTTCCGTTTGCTGTGTGGCTATAGCCTTATAAGGTGGGCGACTGCCCAGGGTCTTGCGCTTGTTAACTTTGGTTTATTATGGGATGGGAGTCCCATCATGGGACATTCTAATTAATATCGATTTTCTAAGACGCCTAAGTTCACGGTGAAGAATTTTCGATAGCTATGCGCGCGCAACTTCTGTTGCATGCTAAATATTACTCCCAACGCGGAAAAATATAACAAAGATACTTGAAAAAATTAAATATTTTTTTTACTTACTACTTTCCATGGCGAATGAACAGAGAGGGTCATCGAAGGGAAATATGTTGAGACGCCCCTGACAGGATAATATCAAATGCCGTCTAAAAAATAAAAATAACATATTAACTATATATTTAACTATAGTTGCAAAAATGTCACATTAATACAGTGTGACCCATTTGTTTGCGACTTTTATGAATTCATATTAGCGATTTCGAAAAAAAATATTATATAATTAATAATTTTTCTGAGTAATGCAGAAAATCCTAAATTTTTTTTTTGATTTCTAAGAATACTATTATCTTAATGATTTTTCTTTTTTAAACCTCAAAATACTAAAAACTGACAAACCAAAAATTATTATATTTTTTTCAAAAAAAAAACCTGAAAGTATATAAGTTGATACACTGTTTAAAATATCTGTGGTGTAAAGAGTAATCTTAAAATGGTGTCAAAATCCAACACCAAGTGGTGTTAATATAAACACCATGAATTATGGTTGAAAATGTTATATACAGCAAACACCAAAACGGTGTTTATCTAAAAATATTTGAGAAGTGCACCTACACAGAAAAAAGGAATAGTTCATTTAACTATATTAATTTAGTTGACCCATAAGTATTTATTTAAATCAACTGTGGGAAGGTTAATATAAACAAAGATTAGTTTGACGGTACTAAACCATATAGTTATTTTATTTTTTTTTAAATTGGTTAAATTAACCCAGAAAACTTTAGTGAAACCAACCCGCTGTATGGTTCAGTTAACTAAATATGTTGTTTGTAAAATAAGAGTTACTTCAACCTAAAGCACTCTGTTAAAACGATTAAAACAATTTGCCGTGCATTCCTGGTTGCATAGTGTGTACCGATCGCGGCAAAGGCGGTGTGGATCACGTTATGTACTTAAATCTCGCCTCTGTTGACTTGAATGAAGAGTATATAAGCTCAGGTAGTCCTTTGCTTTGGTGTGACACTACAAGTTGTTCGATACTAAAGAGACCTTAAATAGGTGAAAACAGCTGTCAATACTTGAAGTATTTTAAGTTGTTGGAACGCTCTAAAAACATTATCTCTGCCGAGTTCAAGGTTTAATTTTCTGAAATAATACCACTGGTAATATACTTGTAATGCGTCAAGGAACTTCCTGTTTCCTTTTTTTCCTTTTTTTCTGTGTAGTATAATTTAATTTGACCAAAAACACATAATATTTAACACTGAAAAGGAGTTCAATTTACACCAGGTAAAATTTATTTCAATACTGTGTGAAAGTTAAATTTACACCATTTTAGTATTTGAATTTACACTGGACCAACGAACCATATTTAACACCATTTTGGTTTGTATCGATATAGACCATGTATGGTGTTAAAATGATCATGAAATTTTGAACAGTGTACTTACTAATACAAAATTATTGATAATTAAAATTTTAATAATATTATTTTAGTCGAAATACTTTACCGCATCAGATAGTTCACGCTTCCGTTTCGATAGATTCGAAGTGAAAAATGTACAGGAATGAGGGGGTCCTTGAAGTCCCCGTGCATGATGAAATAGGTGTCGGGCAGCCATATGTCGTTGTGATGGTGTATGGCGTTCAGAAAATCGTAGCTGCTCTGGTTCGAGTACCTCAGCCGAGGATCATACCATTGCTGCTGCAGCAGGAACTCTACCTCATATTTCTGCAAAAAGATAAGCAATTTAATGTTTCTTGTTTTAAATGTTTAGCATTTTAAATAGAGCTGTACGTTTTAAAAATTAAACCAGCATTAAAAGTACTATACACGGAGAGAAATGTATAGTAAATTTTAGATAGTAAATAAAATATAGTAAAATTTACTTTAACAAAAATTTTTAGGGTAACAATATTATATATTCGTCAATACAAAATACTATTTTCTAATACAATCTTAATATTTTATTGACGAATATATAATATTGTTACCCTAAAATTTGTTAAAGTAAATTTTACTATATTTTTTTACTATCTAAAATTTACTATACATTTCTCTCCGTGTATTTCGAAATTTAAGAACAACATGTATTTATTCATATATATTATTATTATTTTTAACTAATTAAAAAAAAAATACCTCACCTTAGGAAAATGCTGGTATTCCAAATTTGGTCAGTTTTCTTTTTAAAATTTTGGATAAATTTTATACTATTTTATAATACCTACATTGTCTGTCGACGGCACTTTAATATTAAAATATAAATTTAATGGCTTCCCTACATTGCGCTTGAATATGTAAAGCCTTGTTATAGGGAGTGAAAGTGCTTAAAACTGAGTATCTTGCAGAGAGGTAGCTATACATACATAATTTTACCAAGATAACTATAGGATTTTGTTTTTGTAGTATCTTTTTTAAAATGTATTTAAGCAAAATGTATGTTATTGTTACACTACAAATTTTGTAAATTTTACAAATCCCTTTTCGTTTAAAATAAAACTTTTTTTATAATATTAATAAAATTTATGTAAATTTAACAACAAATTAATTGTTAATTCAATAAACTATTTTCATTGTAACAATGCATTGCAATGGTAACATTTTCAACCTACTGTTTACTATAACAAAAAAATTAACTCATATTATATGATGTACAAAATAAAAAAATATAAACTCACTTTTTAAACAACATGTCTGCTTCGTTTATAGAGGACCTTAAATATTTTTTTTAGAAAACGTCGACATTTGAATTTTCTTAGTGATCTTTTTGATATTTTTATCATGCTAGATTGACCACACTTCACTCGCACAAGTGAAATCAATAAGATTTTAACACAGACTGTGGATTATAAAGTTATGTTCACCAAGGAGAACGCTGGCCCTTTCCCCCTCTTTTCAAGGGAAATAATAAAAATGTTGTTACCATTGCAAAACAATAGTAAATATTAAAAGTCTTTTTATAGCAAAAAAATATTTATGTTATTGTTCTTAACATAAGCTATTAACAAAAAAGTTTATAAACGAGGTGCATACTATACTTTTTCTACGACAAATACTTATTATTATCTTAAAATGATTTAAATCAAAAATTTGTATAGAGTGCCATTTATGAAACAATAGCGGAATCTGTGTGTCACCGACAAATGTCAAATTTTTTTATTTTATAAACACAAATTATAAAGGTTATAAATCGAAATGTATTTCTTGAAAATTTACAGTTTTTCACAGTGAAAGTAAAGAAAATGTTTTATGAGCACTTTACATTGGAGTCCGTGTCCGAATTTAAGTTATAGTTTACTACCGGCAAAATAAAAAGGTACAATGTTCACATAAACTTTTCAAATATTGGCGATGAGAAACTATTTAATACTTTTGTATACATTTTTGTATTGTGATAATAAAATAATTTTCACATTTAGTATTATTTTACAAGAAAGGCAATTTATTTTAACGATTGTATGACATTTGACAACTGTCAACTAACTTAAAACTAACTTCAGCCCGTGACTAAAAACCTGTTGCTAACTTCAGCCCGTGACTAAAGCGAAAACTTGTCAATGTCTAAAAGGTCACTTAGTGTCATGGAAACATGTACGATAAAGGGCGTTTTAAAGGTGGGAGTAGAAAAAAATGAGTTAAGTACCCACTAACTGTTAAAGGGAAGTTATATTTGCTTGCTTTGTACAATTAATTAGAACAGACAGGGCTAATTTCAACTTAACAGTAAGTAACTTACTTACCAAACTTGATTCGTCGGGAGACGCTAAACTTAGCAATAATACGCTGACATTCACAGTTAATGTTCCTGAAACAAAAACAAAGTAAATATTAGTTTAATAATATCTAAGACTAATAATAACATTAACAACATACATTAAATATGTAAACTAAGAATTGTAATTCAAAAATTGTCAACAATACATTTAAAGCATACAAACTGTACATCATTTTTAAATAAATAGGTAGTTTTTTCACAAAAAAAAGGAAGGCATAAGTCTTACTCGACAAATTTTGTTCAATTGCACAGCTAAATCGCGAACGTTATTTGTGTTTTACGTTGCAAGGAAAAAACTAAAAAACTGGTTTAGTACTCGATTTCGGTTAATTATTCTTTATATCATTGATTAAGAAACTCAACGCTTAAATGCTTATATAGTTACGTTGGTGTGTGTATTTTATCAAAGGGATCATGGTGAATTATTGTGTTTTTAATTGTAAATTAAATTCAAGAACTAAATCGTTGCATTTTCATGTTTTGCCAAAGGATCCAATTCGGTAAGTACCTTTGTTGGTGCAGAATTAACTAATGATAACTTTACCTAATATAATTTATATTTAAGTTTGGACACTTTTAAGAAATTAGTAAAAAATAATTTTTGTACAAACATAACCTTAAAATTAACCATTTTTATATTTGAATTCTCTAAAAAATGCCGACAACTGCATTTTAAACAACAAAATATACCTACGAATTCATGGCAACATCACAATCCACACATTGTGTGGATTGTGGGCAACATAATATTATATATAATACATAATATAATGGTATTTTACCGTTGAGTGGAGACTTTCTTAATCAACACGTTTAATAATGCTAAATGCTGTTTAAATTTAGACGACTTATTTGTTTGACGATTATTACTGAATTGAAATGTTTACACTTTTCACGGTAATCATTATTAAAATGTGTATTTATTGTATCTAATAGATACAATTTATATTTACAGGGACTGTATGAAATTTATTTCTTCATTCGGATTAACACTGTTTATTGGAAAACCGATAAAAACTCAACCCAGGAATTCCTCTCGAAATACACCCAACAACACAACAAATCGTGCCACGGTTTTTTTTCGATATATATTAACATTTTCCGGCTTTATTCTCAAAAACACTCGTTTGTAACACACGCGTTGGACAGCTGATTATTAAAAGTTGTACTTTTGTTACGATGATCAGCCGAGTGGTGGCGCTACTAGCTTCTTTAGCGTATACAAATGATTTCCAAAAATTAGAGGGCGCTGGTGTTCATTTGTTGTTTGGTTTGTACCAAAGTAGCCGACGTCAGTATAAATCATAGATAATATATCATATAGATACGCCACTGTCACATATTTGACGCTCCTTGTTACGCACACTCGGCCCGCTATGCCGCTAGTGTACCCGCCTGACATTTATTGGTTTTAGGTTAGGTTTAATTTAGGTTATCCTGTCTGACAGCACCTGTCAAATTTTGACAGTCAAAATAGTAAAAAATAAAAGGCCTGATAGTTTATTTAAATTGTTTATTTGAAAAGCAAAAATTAATGTATTATATTTTAAATTATTCAAGGTATTTACTAAACTAAACCAATTAACAATATAATAATGTATTCAAGTGTATTTTATCTTATTAAAGAACACAAATCAGTATAAAGTAATAATATTATGTACCACATTTGTGTAAGTACCTTGTTTTAATAAAATAGTTATAATTGAATAATACAATACAACCTTGTCATCATTGTGAAGAGTATGCATCATAACTTGACTGTTAGAGCAGCCCACAGCACAGCACAACACCATGTTAATGTTCAAATAATGTAGCAATATATAAAAAATAGAGTACACAGATAACGATAAATCGCAATTAGAAAAGTTTTTAAGCGTACAGAACAAACCAAAAAATAAACACAATATGAATTTACAAAACTTTACAAAATTTATCAAACTGAAGTTTGTTGATTTCGTTACCAAGCAACCGTCAAGATTAACCGCCGCTCCTGCCACATGCAACTCGAGTGTAAACTAAAACCAAAGTCGACTAGACAAAAATGTGGATTTTGTTTGTTTAAGGCGAGTGCACAGGGCATGGTATAAATTGGAAATCAGCGCCGCCAGTGATGAAAAAAAGAACACGTAATTTGTGCGATTTAAATTAGTAGGCAGGTTTTGTCATTTCCACATACTCCCTGTGTATAGTCTCCATGTCATGGAGTCCATGATCTATCCATTTGAATGAAACCGCTTTTCAAAGTAGATTATATTGAAACTGATGTTAATGCATACTTTAGTTGAATACTTGTAGCATTAACTTGTATTAGCTTGACATAATATATATTATATCATATGAATGTATACATTTATTGCCTAGCATATTAATTTAAATAAAATTTATGCGAAAACCTGTGCTAAAATGGGCATGTTTATTAATATTAATGTACTTTAAAGGCTGTGTTTATAAAATGCGGCTAAATTGTCTAATATAAGCTCAAAATTACATTACGGCCAGGCCAATGTTTTTGTTTTTGTCAGATACTTATAGTAATTTTACAATTATGTATTGTAGAATTGAATTTGAAATTTTGTAAACTTTCTATACATATTCGGAATTTAATTTTATCAAGATAATCAATAAAATTATTAACCAAAATTTGCTATTTGAATTACAATAAGTGTTTGGAAATATGCAAATCATTATTTATTTTATACAACTTCTGTTTGCATTTTTACTATATATAATACAAGGTGTGTTCAGAAAATAACGGGAATTGTTAAATTTCGCGGGATCAGAGGGTCTGGTTGTCATAAAATTTTCTTTATTATGTTGGTATACATGCCCCCGTATGATACAAACTTTAGCTGTTTTCATTGTTTACTTTGTCTGTGGCAGCCGCTAAGGTTAGACGTGTTTTATGAGCTCGGCGATTTTGCGTTCGTTAAAAGAAATGGATCAAACAATTTTGCTTAAAAAATTAAATAAATTCTGTGAAATGTTAACAAAGGCCTATAGTGAGTCTGCTATAAGTAAAACAAGAGTTTACAAGTGGTATAAGAGTTTCCAAGATGGCCGTGAAGACGTTGAAAATGAGGAACGCTCCGAACCCACAAGCACATTAACAACCGATAAAAACATGGAAAAAGTGGAAGAAATGTTTATAAACCATCAGAGAAGTCGCTGATGATGTTGGTATATCGATTGGCTCATCCCTTGAAATTTTTTCGAATGTTTTGCGTATGAAACGAGTGGCAGCAAAATTGTTAAATTTTGAACAACATTTTTGGCCAAAAACAATACTGTAATGATGCCCCAGCCTCCATATTCGCCAGACATGCCTCTGTCTTTTTCCTATTCCCAAAAATAAAGAGAACCTTAAAGGGCCGTCGTTTTGCAAGCATAGATGACATTAAAAGCGCATCGCTGAAAGAACTAAAGGCTATCCCAAAGATCGAGTTTTAGAAGTGTTTCGAGTATTGGAAGAAGAGCTGGCACATGTGCACAATATCCAATGGGGACTATTTTGAAGGCGACAACATTAATGTAGACGAATAAATAAATATTTGTTTCAAAGAACGAAAATTCCCGATATTTTCTGAACACACCTCGTATTACAAATAATAATACACCATGGAGAAATCAACCTATGCTCCGGTTTAAATGTATGGAATGTCTGGTCAACGCCTAAAATGGCAATGCAATTAATTTGATCATTTGGCGGATGAATGGCATTGCTTTCTCCAGCAACATAATGTAATAACATCACTTTGCGAGAGGAAGTACGTTTCATTAATAAATTCTTAACAGAGTAGACCCTGGTTTTGTCAGCAAGATTTAAGTGCTAAGAAAATATTAAAACAATCAACAATGTTGCCAAAACCACACTTTATTTTCGCGCTTGGTCCTTTGGATGTTTGTGATGTTATAAAATTATAAAATTATAATTCTGCCTAAATACGAATAAATTTTGTTATCATGGCAGATAACCATTATATTAAAAAAAATAAACTAAAAAAACAAAACAAACAAAATACTAAAGATTCGTTTTTTAAAACTTTAAAATATATATCTGGAACTTAAAAATATATTTATATGGATTGATAAAAATATACCTACATATAAAATAAATAAAATATCAGAGCAATAGGAATACCCACCCCTGAACAGAATAAGCTTTGTTTATAAATACTTCCGCATAGCCACTTGTAATTTTTGGCAAAAATAATGGACAAAATTAAATAAAATTAAACATATATGGGTGAATCTCACGAAATGTCCCGCGATGGTGTTACTAAATGAGTTTGACCTACACTTTTATTGTGTTTTGATCTTTCAAAATTAAGTAGAGATTACAGCTCAGGATCCAGATTTTTAACCGCAATTAATTATTTTTTACAATGTTTTAAAAGTCCAAAACCTATCCTCCGTGACTGTTACTCTTTCTAGGTTAACCTATATGTTTTCAAATATCTGAGGTAGTAAAAGCATACTAAAAATATCAGTTCACTAAGTAAATTAAACACATCCAAAGCAATCGAATCAAATATAAAATATTATTAAAAATTAAAAGAAATAATTTTTATAACCATTTATGTAGGTGTTACAAAAATTGATTCTATCCTCCATGAATCTGTTTTTGCTTTAAATTTTATGCAACGGATGGCGCTTTAATCATTTTAAATAAGCAAAAACCTCTGTTTACGACATTATAGATGCATGTGATTCCTGAAGTTCAGTTAGAATTTATATGCAGATGAGAGTGTTGCTGTTTTATAATTTAAAAGTTTAAGTTCATTAATTTGCTATTTAAAAACCTATCCACCGTGAAGTGTAATATCTCAATAAGTAGATTTTTTTATAAATATTTTATGTATGTACAATTGTATTTTTAAAGAATATTAAGGTGTCAAAAGATACAATAACTTATTTCAAATATACAAAGGGATGTTTAAAAAAAACCTACGAAATCCTAACCTCCGTGAAGCTCTAATATTCAAAATGTATGATTTCTTAAAATTCTTGCATTAGTGCAGAACCACTTATGT